GCTGTATGCCATTAAATCTATCTTGGAGTTATTAATTTATAGTTTTTATTGGTCAAAAATACCTTGAAAAACGTGCATCGTTTCTGTGAGTGAGGTCGCTTCTCCGCAAATCTGACCTAGAGTTGGCCTGTTTATGTCACCTGCATGGAGATCGTTAAGTTTAATTCTGTGAAACATTCCAAGCAATGGTCAACAATAACATGGAGACATACAGGTGGCACACCCTCCAGAGGAAAAAAGTTATATAGTGCAACTTTAATGAGATTCTGTGCAATATGCAATTTATTTGATTGCGCTCCAATAAATAAAAGCCGATGAGTTGCAGCAGTTGCAGTTGAACAGAAGAGACTTTGTAGAAATTTAAATAGAAATTATATTTATTAGTGTAAGAGAAATTCCATTTCTAAACTGTACTGAGGGTTCATCTTAGCCTGCGTCATCAGAGGTATAATACTTCCTTACAGCGGAAGCATAACCACACTAGACTGCAGTAGAGTGGAAACGATAACACTGTCGTACTGTCATGTCTCCAGGTGCTGGGTCCCATGATGGTAAATAAACTAGATGCAAAATTTAAACTAGAGCAAAACACAAGAAGATAAAATTTGCGAGGTATGAACAGAATACACCACTTCGCTTCTGTAACCAAATATCCATCTGCTAATTGAGATTTTTGCTTAATTGGTAAGACAGATATGACAACATAAGGTTCCAGTATGGCATTTACCTTGCCAATAGTAAATGCAAGATAGAAGCTTTTAATGTAAAAAACAAAACAAAAACAAAAAACACACACACAAAGACATAGATGCATTCTACAGATGTGACCTGTTACTTGACCTGATGATCACCTGACTGGTAGATAGGTTTAATGCTATACTGTGAATTCCAGGGAATATGACAAGCAGGCTGCAGGTTGAATATAAGATCTCTAACTTACTAATTACAGCTACTATTATATGCACAACACTAATATTTATAATAAAGAACAAACATTAATTCTTCTATTGAAAGCTAAACCATAACCACTGGATAGTGATTTTCAAGTAGGTCCAAGTCTGATCACTTCTATAATGTAAAGTAAACATCATTTTGTAAGATAACTTTCACTTGGGGACAATAAGCATGGAACAGAGCATTTATGAAAGAAACTGATTATATAGGACTATGAGGAGTTTAGGAGTCTAACATGAAAAATATATTACTTTAACTAACAAACTTTAACATATTTTCTTCATCTTTCATACCCTATGCTAACTCTCCATGCTGTTGCCCGCCTTAAGAGTACAAATGACGCCACCATGCCTTGACTGCAATAAACTATTCTATTCAACTGCTGTTTTGCAGTGCATTATTATTTGCATTCCTAGATCTCTGGACGCTGTGGCCTTGAGAAAAGCAATTATTTTTATGATAATCCATAATACTGTGTTTATTTATACTCTTCTGTACCTGAGGCCTGAACTATTTCAAATAGAGAAGGTGGGGGATTTTGAGCCTCCATCTTCAAATGTGGTTTACACAACTTGCTGTATTCATTTATTTATTTATTTTCTCAACTCATGAATAAATTAATAAGATTGTTTTTTTCCATTAAAACATTTATTTGTTATTCCTTATTTAGGGAGAGTACTACTAACTAATACAACTAATGTCATCGGTAATATCAGATGAATAGATCTGTCATTTAGAGATTTCATTGTAGGGTTATACTAGGTCTAGGTCTACACCAGGACCAAACCAGGACAAGACCAGGATTAAATCAGGACTAGACCAAGACTAAATTAGGACTGACCAAGACTAGAAGAGGACTAAACTGTAAACTCCAAAACTCATCAATATTTTGGACAGTGCTATTTAATCAAATACAAGATGGAAGTGATGAGTGCCTGTCCTGCTGAAGCTCCAGGTATGACTCTAATCATTCTGCACATTGTCCACTAGATGGAGACAACTCTCAGCACACAGAGAATTATATTACTGAATTAAATGTACTTACTCATTTAAAAGAACCATTATGAATACAGTCCATAGCCTAACTGCATAGATTTGTGGTTGTTAAGTTGTAGTTGTTAACTAAAAGTACCTGTATTCCAGGTTTGTTGATAGTGGACCAGTGAAGGGGACATGGCTCCACCCCCGTTTATGAATCATGCATCACGTTCTGAGGGTTCTAGAGGACCAGTGACCCTGGTTACATGTTGATTTGATTATTTGACTCTGACACAGAGTGCTGCATAAATAAAGATTGTTTTATTAGAATCAATGTATTTCACAGTAATTTTGAGCGCTTAAAACAGACATAAATATGATAGATACGTTTATATATAACAGTTGAAGTTTCCAGTTTAAAGGAATAATCTCCATGGAGACAAGCAGGTAGCAGACACCCATCAGAAAAGTTACATACATCTGCCCCGGGTCAGATTACTTTACCTTTGTAGGACACTCTACAGTTAATTTAATTAGTAGTAGTATTAAGTAGTAGTAAGCTAACTAACTTACCTGTGACAGTCAATGTTGCCATCACTGATGTCCATGAAAATTAGGTAAAATAGCCACAAATTGTACTAAATTAAGAGTAACATTACTTAAAAAATATATTTCTCAAGTCTAAGTAAAAAGCAGAAGTCCAAAAAATGTGTTAAGTAGCTACGAGTAAAAGTATTCGGAGACACTACTCCTCAAGTAACTTAAGCTAAAAGTAACTGGACGAAACATCTGATTTGTCATTTAAAGTTAATGCAATTGTTAGAATGAAACATGAAATAGTACTCATGTCCAGTGGGAAGAAAGCACAATATCTGTAAATAGTGACTCAAGTAAATGTATGAGGTCCTAATACATGAGGTCATTGTAATGCTTGTGACAGGCCTGCCCTACACTCAGTGTATGTAACACGATGACTTAGGACAGTTATGAGCTTTTTATGAGCTACTTCAAGTGATAAATACAAAAATGTTGGTGGTCAAATAATGCCTCCTACGTTTATTTCATTGTTGTCACCTGTTGTCTGGGTTTTACATGTTTTTTACATGTTTTTTTTTAACATGGTTTTACAGCGGCTCTCTCCTCAAATTAAATGTAAAGTTAAAAGGAAGTATGAAAGTGGTGTGTACGTGAGTGATGGTGGTGGTCGGAGGGACTGATGGCAGTGATTGGCATGGCAGGCGCTTCTATCAGTCTGCCCCAGGGCAGCTGTGGCTACAATAGTAGCTTACCATCAGCAGGTATAGAGTGAATGAATAACGCTGAATAATGCTCTGTAAAGCGTCTTTGTGACAAAAATGTCTGTGGAAAGCGCTATATAAATAAAGACTTACTTTCTTACTAGTGTAAAAAAAATAAAATCTTTATAAGTGTCAAATTCAACTATGAGGAGTGTTTTTACATTACTTTACCAGTGTTGAGCCGTCTTCACTTTGAAAATTTTAGTTTTAACTCATTTTACTGTGGACCCCATATTACATGGTAAAAGTGTTAAAATTAACAATATATGAGTTGAATTAACACTCTTGAATTTGATGTGTAGTTGTACTACAGTAGTAATACTATAAAACACCTCTAACCCTCCTATGCAAAGAAAAATCACAAGTTTAAAGTAAACGCAAATTCTGGCAGACTGTAGTACCCCACTTTTTCAATACAAACTAACCTGGGGCCCAATTACGTGTCATATGTATTATAGTATTATAATTTAGATAGTTAACAATTATTCAGTTAAAATATAATCAATGACAAAACGTTGCATTTTGTCATACATCAAAGTTTTTTATGAAATCCTATATAATAATTCTTGCTTTTTCACTCTCACCTCTGATCCTCCTATGCCCAGAAAGTATAAGGTGCAATATGCAGGAATTTCTGTAAAACTGCAGAACTGAGATTCAAATTCAGAATAAAAATGACAGTTAACTCAACAAGAAAAGGTTATGTTTTTATCGTAAGTATTTTTGTTTTATGAAACCCTACATAGTATTCCTTAACTTCAATCTACTCCTTTTTTAAAATCAATTAATCACAAAATCAATCAAGAAAGGGGATGATGGGAGTGGTTGAAGGTGGTAAAACTCACCCTGGTGGTCCTCGTCAGAAGAGTCTGAAATCTCCCAATGTTAAACACCCTTTAAATTGTAGCTGGAGTAAGTCAGACTAGTATCACAGGCTGTAATGACTTACACTACTACTACTCACAGTTATTTAAGTAACATATTGAAGAGGCCTAAGGTGTACATCTGGAGGAGTCAGAGTTTGCAAGGCTGATTTGTTATTTTGATGTTTGTGTCTAAACCAGGGGTGTCAAACTCAAATTTACAGAGGGCCGAAATTTTAAACTGGGACTAAATCGTGGGCCAAACTAAATATTTATTGAAAAATTTCTTCAACATCTGCATGTTTTCTCTTCTTTCGAGATATGCAATGTTAAACATTTTCATATTCAAATCAATGTTTAATAATAGTTTTGCTTAAACATTGAATCCAGAAGAAGTGTAATATAAAAATAATAACAACATTTTAAATAAATAATGTCTCTATGGCCGGCGGGCAAGCTCTAATACATATTTAATATAATCTCGAAGACCAAATATAATTATATCGCGGGCCAAATTTGGCCCCCGGGTCTGAGTTTGACATGTCTGATCTAATCTAACTGTAGACTGTTGTGTTCTGGTCGTTCATGTCATGGCCCCTGCAGGTACATAGTGAACCACAGAGTAAAATACCTATGTTTAAAAAAAAATGAAAAAAAAGTGATTCAAAACGGAAAATACAGGCCTAGCAAAATAATAAGTTTTTCCACTGTAAAGTTGAGATGAGAGTGTTTGCAAAAATGATTTAACTACATAAGCCTACATAGCCTGTTTTATGAGTTTCCTCCAGTCCTTGACTGTACTACACCATGGTCGGGGGGTGAGCCCGGAGATGTGTGTGGACATGTCCGCAGTGTGGACGCTGCTGTGTTCAGGAGGTGGGTGGGAATTAGCCGTGTCTCCGTGTGGCGCGCACTAATCCTTCTTCTCACGGGGGCGCGCTCGGATCATTGCTCAGCTCGTTAGCGTCCTCCCGTTTGAGAAAGAGGGTGCCTGTCCATCCATGTTCCAGCCGCGATCCATGCTCCTGCAAAAGCCTCAACTACTCCAGAGCTCTGGTACAGTACATATTTCACTTTTACTTCAGTTAACGCGCGCACGTGGAGTTATAGCTGCGCAGACCAAGTTTAATTATTAAGATGGTTGTTTTGCTAGCTCTGCGCTTGACGATTAGGCTCAGACACTTTCCACTTCCTCGCCATCTGCGCTCCGATGTATGTCATTGAGCAGAGTTTGTACAGTGGGCTAAGCCGCTCCAGATGACACCTGTCTGGGATTAATTAGTTCAAATGGAGAAGTGGGAATACCAGGTTAAACTTTGTTTCACAACAGAAAATAATGTGAAATACTTGTAGGTAGGTATACAGTACAGTAGCCTACCTACAGTACTTGTTTTGGACTCTGTGTCTCGTGTCCTAGTGGACTGATCTAAAACCACTGATTTGTCTCAGTTATTATAAAAAAAAACTGTCCCAAGTGTCTCAACTTTGGACCAGTTTGATACCCGTTAACGCTAAAGGGTGGAATATTTTTTTCCTTTAGACAAAATACACTTAAAACAACAGGCTTGTAAATGACCAGAACACAAAAATGCATTATAGGTTAAAAATACGTTTTTTTTTTCTACCCTGTTTAAAGATGAAAAAGTAACACAAAGGACAAGCAAACATGCTTGCCCGGAGCTACTACACTTTCAAGTACCGCACAAAACGAGATTAAACTTTCAACTTTACCTCCAAATGTAGAATTATCACTTCATACCGTTATTTGTCAATTTTGTCTTATTTGTATTTTTTTATCTGATTTATTCAGTCTATTAAATATAATTGTATTTTTATTATTATAATTTTTTTGTATTTCCAAAACAACCGTATGGAGTAAAAGAGGCTGTAGTTATAATTAGCGGTGTATAATCTTCTCCCTTGTTACCCTCTGCCCGCTGTGAGGGTACTCCTGACCCTGGCTGTTAGCTGGCTTACACAATGCTAAGCTCCACATAGAAACTGCACTATGACTAGCACTGTCTGTGTACAAACATGCAGCAGACAGGTATGTCTACTGCCAAGGAAGCCTAACAGCAACAGTGTCAGTTTGGTTAATTAGAAAGCCTTCATTAGACCTTTTGCAAAGAGTTGTGTAGAAGTATAATAGGGCCTTGTTCTCTATCACTCTTGTATTCATTCATCTTCTTTTTCCATTTTCACCTAACCCAGTGTGACTGGACAGAAGGCTGGGCACAGAGCGTACATTTTTAAATAATGTTTACAAATAAGTAATGAACTGCTCACTTCATTTAATACATGCCAAACAATATTTCTTAATGTGTTAAAGCTACATTAACATTTCTGTCTTATGAAGATACTCCATAGAATGGCATTAAAGTTATCTACTCCCATGGAGATAATCAGGAGGCAAACTACCCATCAGAACAGTTACATAGTGTAATTGCACAATTGAACAAGGAAATAAGTAAGATTAAATATTCACTAGAGAAAACCACAGTTCAGCTACAGCTAGACTTGGGAAATATATAGTTAGTACTCAGTTGCAAATATTCAAGTACTGTACTTTTCAGACACCATACTTTTATTCCCACTTGACACTGTCAATACATTTGACAGTGCTAAGTTCTCTTATTTGAGTAAAATTTTGGTTCCTCTTCCCACTGTGAGTACGTCTACAAGTGACATAAGATGACAATATGAAATTATTTGAAAATTTGTGTTATTTGCAACCCCCTCGTGGTTTTTGAAAATACCAGATTATGATTTAATATAATGTCCTCTCAATTAAATTAAGTTCAAAGTATAAATCTGACTTTGTATCTAATTATTATCTAGTTAGTTACTCTTGCAATTACTCTCTTCCCCAAATACTTCAGTTCTCTTACTCAAAGTACATAATAGTAATCTTACTTGCCTATGCCCATTTTAGTAGGCAAATCACTAAACCTTCTCAGTAGGGACATTTAAAGTAGATCTCTACTGCTGTGTTTTTGTGTCTGACCCTGATAAGACGGGATCATCTGATACAGAGTAAACATTGTAACTGAACTTTTGAACTACCGGACACATTTTCTCTATTTTCATGTTGGCTCCATGACCACAGAGACATGTAAGCACAGGCTTAAGATGTACAGTATTTGAGTCTGACCAGAGTTACATCAAATGTAATTTAAGGCACTGCAGTTTCCTGGAATGAAAACTAAATTTGACTAAGTAGCAAAAATGTCACAGATATATCATGGTAAAATGTGTGATATGATGTAAGTTATGACATCCTTCCTTAATACTAAGTCTCACATGCTGGAATGCATTATATTAGATGTAGACAGCACTTTTTTACAGTATATCTGAGTGAATGATTAGTTTTTATCATTATGTATACCTCACAACTAGTATTACCATCCAGGAAGGAAAGTCTGAAGTATTTGAGTCCATGACTGTCCTAGTAGACTGGCAGACATATTCACTTTGACTGATAATTGCTGTGAAAGGGCATAATCAAAAGACCAATCATAAATATCATATATCATAAACAAACATTTTTCAAGTTAGGAAGTCCCTTTATTGATTATTTAATACGCAGCTTCACAGCATCACCTGAAAATATTTAAATATGCTTTCAAAATACACGATTATGAATGTGCCACAGTGTTGTCATGATGTTTGCCTTTGTTCACAGAGGGATGAAACGTAAAAGAGCATTGTCCTGTGTCAACCATGAGTGACCCCCCCCTCCCCTCGTCCACGCTAGTGTCTCTGGCCCGCTCTCTGTCTGGGATCGGGATTGACTTAACTAATGGAGATACCCTCCCCTCTTCAGACCGGAGCAACTCCCCTCCTCCGGTAAGCACTGTGCTGTGGGTTTAATTAAAACCTCCAAGGACCTGAACTCTTGCATGGTATGCTTGATTTCTCTTTTGTTATTTGGATTGATTGGGACCTGATGTGTGCAAAAATATAGAGCATTAGAGAATTATATTTTTATTATATTTTATATTTATATGTCCACATATGAAATATAAAACATTCATTTTATGTTTTAATCATTTTGATGGAACTCACTAAAGTCAAAATTTAATAGTGATTTGCAAAAACTATTTATTAAGTGCCTAAACAACCCAAAATTTGTTGGACATATATGTCCACATATGTGGACGCTAGGTCCTGGGAGGCTATGTGAGTTTCACACTGACACTGATGAGTGAAAGTAAAAGAGCTTTCGATCTGAGAGTGAGCTTGGGCCAGTGTGCACACCTTAGCTGCATTCTGGAGATCAGTAAATTTGCCCCAGTAAACTACAGTATATTGATGTATCGTTTAATATATGATAGGATGGAACAATATTTTAGGTACTTTTTTTTTTGCATGAATGGGGAATGTTTTGTTGTTTTTCAATACCATGACTCATTATAGATACATTCTGCTATTTATTATTTATTGCAGCCCATTCTTTTTTTCGCTATATTTTACATTTAGGAAAGTGTTTACTGAGTTTATCAGACTTTAGGGTTATGAGGTGAAAGTGGTTCAGTATTTGGCATGTGTGTGAACAAGAATTGATATATGGTCATAGCAAGAGCAGCTGAGCTACTATCCTTTGCCACTGGAATAAGACCAAATCCAATGGACATTTCAAGTCTTGAATGAATGAATCATTCTGTGATTAACCCTCTTCGTAATGTTGTGGTTGCCCTGTTTTTCCTGTGTGTTTCCGTGTGAATAATACATTTTAAAGGTAGTTATTTTTAATGCATGCTTCTTTGAGTAAACCTAAAGCATCTAAATTGTCCCCCGTTATAAAGGGAAAATCAGGAAAGTAGACAAAATACAAAAAAGACAGTAAACCCAAACTAAACAAAGAGTAAATGTAAAGTACATGTATGTGTTGATAGGTGACAGGCATTGAGTTGGGCCCGGGGCTCTATTTTGCTGATGGGAAGCGTAAAGTGGACTACGTCCTGTCCTTCAAGTGCAAGAAGAGACGAGCATCCAAGTCACGCCTGTCCATCGCGTCCAATGGCAGCATCCCCTTCCCGGGCACCAGGTCTGATGAGGGGGAGTCCGGAGAATGTGCCACCACGGTTGACCCGGAAGAGCAGAGGCTGACGGAGGAGGAGAAGGTGCTCATGAGGGAGGAGTTTGAGGCTCAACTAGTGGAAGCTGGGCTGCAACTGGAGAGGGACAAGGAGGTGAGGGAGCCACGGGAGCACTGTAATCTGTATGTCTATAGACCAGATACTGTTCTACGCAGAGCTGAAAGTAGTGTTGTCATAATACTAACATTTCAAACTTGATCCTGATACAAAGGAATAGATCCTAAACTCAACACAACAGAATATGATTTTACTTTCTTTTATATTGCCATGTGCCCTTATATCTGTGTAATTCCTCAGTCATTCAGATCCATGTGTACCAGTCTGTGGCCTTACACTTATCTGATACAGCACAAGCTCATTGTAAAGCTATTCAGGAAAGGTTCACTTGTGTCCTGTGAATGTGACTTTTTTAGTATTGACCTGACCCATTGAGTATCTAGTTTTAAACAAATTTTAGTATTGACTAGTATCTGATTTTGTATACTTTTGACGGCCTTAGCTGCAAGATTAATTGCAATCAAATTGAAATCGTAATCTGAATAAACACAATTTGCAAATCACAAGGCCATTATTTTTGAAGTACCATAATTTCCTCCATAAACAACAACATTTCCTGTTTTATTCTGCATAAAAACTGTTAACCCTGTAGTTTAGATCTGTTCAAACATTTTCTGAAGCGTGATTCTTGTATTACTTTGTTCATATTTTAGTGTTTTTTTCAATTCTTCTATTGGTGTTTAAAATGCGAACTTTAAACATAATCCTAATTTAAAAACAAATTGTAAATCTAATCACAATGCTTGTCAAATAAAATCGTAATTACAGATTTTTCCCAACCAGTCAATCGTAGAGCATTAGAGAGAGCATTGCATTAGAGAGGATGGATCACTCAGTGCCCTGTGTATGTGTGTTTGTGGCATGTCGGCATTTCAAATCACTCTGTTTTGGTTCAGGCTTAAGATTGTGTGAAGCTAAAGGCCAGATTACAGAACCTTCACCAAGATGTAGTATTCTGTAGTAAACACTCAACTATTACTACTACGACTGCTGTTGCTGTTATGTCCTTAAACACTGTTTTTTTAGTCAGTGTGCAAGTGCTTTTCGTGTGATTTTACTGCTGAAATGATGAAACACAATTGGTTAATAATGAATATTTTTGGCTTTATATTTTCTTCCAACTTTGGAAGATGAGAAAATGGATTAAAACATGTCTCTTTTACATTGTGATAAAACATCTTCTATATTCATTATTTGCATTGTGGTAACATGTGATAGTTCAGTCTCAGCCCCGAGCTCATAATAACACCTCATACTGCAACACTGCAGACACTGTAAAAGCCCCGCATTGGAGACTGGACATTTTTGAGTGGATGTAAGTTTCATGCTGTTCCTTCAACTCTTCTGTTTTACCTGTAAGTGCTTCTGCACCATTGTTAAAAAACAGTTAATATGATTCACACTATTTACTTGTTGCCATGCGTGCATCACTATTGGCATGCTGGTGGTCATCCAATGACTGCGTGGAGGCATGACTAGCACCACCCCCTATGAGCTGGTCTCAGGTCTCAATCATTCCAGACTGCTTTGGAAGGTAGTACCTCCAGCGGTCCACTTTGGACCCCAAAAAGGGGGCAGTACGGATCTCTTTACTCAGTGGAAACATTCAGGTTCCACACCGTTCCGCCTTGTACCAGTCCTTTGGAAACAAGGCTATAGGGTTGCCAAACCAGTAAAGAAATAACTACTAAAACTGTTATTGAAACTACTAGCAGATACTTACTTGACTAAGGACAAATCACAGGACAGAAATGAACCTTTCCTGAACAGCTTTAGAATGATCTTGAGCTATATCAGAACATGTATAAGAGCACATAGACTAGTATACGCCCATGGAACAACTGAGGGATTACACATATACTCTATAAGGCCACATAGTAATAAAAGAAAGTACTATGATTTAATGTTGAAAATCGCTTTCTACCGTGTAATCAGTATTGGTTGAGTGTCAGTATTATAAAGTCTATTACTTGAAATCTAGTTTAAAATTTTAGCATCATGACAACGCTACTGCAACATTAGTTTGACTAACAGAGTTCTGCACACCCAGACTTCATGGTACAGGGATAGTATTTGTTATGTATGTGTCATGTGTGGTCTTTTGGGCTTCTGTTGGTCGCTGCTGCCTGGTTTTGAATTAATAGGATTGAGCACTTACTATATAAGAGCGTACTTACAGCTTTAGAGGAGCATCTCAGGTCAAGCACTCATAAGGCAAAGTGACAATTTACATACTGTTTAGGGCTGCATGATTTTGGAAAAAAAATATCTAACTGTAATTTTTGTGTAAGTGTTTTGGTTGCGATTTCATTTGTGATTTATCTTTAAAAAGTAGGATTCTGTTCAGAGTGCACATCGTAAATAACTCCAGGAGCAGTGACATTTGAAGACTAAAATATGAACTGAATCCAATATAAGAATACCGTGAATTACAGAACATGGTAACACATCTATACACTTTTAATAACCTAAAAGCATTCACAATAACTTGTATTATTCATGCAATACATAGTAATTACTAAACATTTTAATAAACAATTTGTTCATTATGAATTATGCTTCAACTCAAATTGTTATTTTGATGTGATTTGTGACAACTTAGAGATGGGACATGAGCTAACAACATAAAATTACCACAAGAATGTTCCCTTGTGCAATTTAAAATTTAAAAGATATTAAAATAATACTTGTCCAAATTTATGAACTCATCAACACAATTCATTTATCATATTATTATAGGGAAATTTCTTGTGGACCTGATCTCATGTCTCATCTTGTGGGACTTGTGTCTCAGAACTGGTATAAAGAGATAGGGCGGGTGATATATCAGTTTCAATATTGGCCAATATATTTATCAATATTTTAACTGCTAGCCCAGTCTCTGTGAGCCCATCAGATTTGTCTTTTTGAGCGGACTCGTGAGTAAAAATGGAAATAGAAGAGCGTTATATGCCTATATATTTACACAATCACATAACAAAGTATTATTATCCCATGCATTGTATGGTGCTGTGTTGTTTGTCACAGAGGGCACATGGCATCAGGTTCCTGCGCCTGCACATCCCCTGGCCCCTCCTCAGCCGCGAGGCAGAACTCCAGAAGATTAAAGTTGCTGTCAAAAAGGTCAGGACCTACTTAAAGTGACCTTAATCAGCTTAACTTTTCACAGAATGTCGGAAAAATAAATACATGCTTTTGTCTGTATATGTTTTCATAATGTGTTTGTTTATCATGATACAGAATCATATACATGTTTGATTGTGACAAGAAACCTCAGAGATTTATAATTATTTATTATTATCTCTATGTCAGATTATCTAATAAATTGGACTGCAACAATTAATTGACTAAAGAAGAAAAGAAAAAAAAAAAAAAAAATTGTATTTTGATAATCATAATCATTATCTGGACTATATAAGGAATCACAAGAATAAACAATTCCTGATTTCAATAATAATTATTAGAATTATTCATAAATGGTCTTCATGCTCAGGCACCATATTTCAGTTGAAAATGTATTCAAAAAGTCTAGATGTAAAATAGAAATAATTGTTTGACTAGTTAGTTGTAGTCCTGCCAATAGATCAGCAGTCTTCAGTATGTGACCAATCAATGTTTATGAAGTCATGTAAAAAGCACTTTATATTTGGGTGAACTTGAAAAAAAAAAGATTATTCTTTTTCCTTCTAGAATTCTCATTATTACTCTCACAATATTTACTTCTTATGATTATATTGTGACTTTAGAAATCTAAATGTATTAAATTAATATACTTTTGTTTGTTTTGAGTAGAAGTGTGACTTGCGTAAGCGCACAGGTATCGCTGGTGTGTGGGATTACATTATAGCCAAAATGTCTACTCCATTCCAACCGGATGTCCCTGACCTGGAGATCCAGAGAGACCCCCAGACCCGCATCCGCTTTAAGACCCTCAAACACGCCTTCATCAGGGACAAGCTCCACCTGTGAGTGGCGTTACCTGATAACAATTGTATTGTTTATTATTACTCTTAATTACAAAAAATACTGGACATGGTGTCTTGGTTATCAAGACAATTTTACAATCAGAAAGCAGAATGAGCCTTTCATGAGTCTCTTACATGGGTTGCCAGTTTCAATGCTGAAATCCAGTTGGTTAAAAAAAGTTATTCTGATCTGAATCGTCACTACCTAAACTACAGCAAATGCAACCAAACATTAATCAGTGCTAATGCAGCCTGAGGCATGGCCTGTCCATGTACTGAGAATGAGAAAATCTATGTTTCCTCTATCTACAGGTTCAGGCACTGGTAACCCAAGTTCAGTTGTGATTGTAGTAACTTTTTTAAAACTGTTAAAGCAAAGGCTACATACAGTTCATTTAACATGGCTAATAATACCTGTATATATTAATATAGAATAGATCCATTTAGTTTAGTATTTAGATCATTTGGCTTGATTATTAAGCATGACATCATTCAAAAATATATTGTAAAGGTGTAAAGTGTAACTTTTCTGGTCTTCATGGAGATGTTCTTTGCTTTATAATGTTCTGTAGTATAGCATTACATATTTTAATGAAGGAAGGCAAGTTACAGGTCAAATCTGTGGAGAGGCAATCCTACCCACAATAAGAGTCGGTGTTTTTAATTCAGTTCAATTCAATTCAGAAAGATTACAGTCAATTTTCATATGAAACATATGAATTATTGAAATCGTGTCCCTCACTCCCAGTCTTCTAAATAAATAATAATAATATTTATAAATGGAAAAGTCTAACTTTTCTTCTTTGGGGAAACGCAGATTCTTAGCTTCCTGGCTGCCTGGTGGTTAGAGAGGGGAGAGAGATCAGCATCCTGACAGCCTGGTGGATGAAGCTGTTAGTGAGTCTGGTGGTGCAGGGACGGAGGCTCCTGTACCTCCTCCCAATATATTTATAATATATTTATAGCAATAAAATGTGTGTAGTTAAAAAAATGCTAAATAAATATGTAAGGAGGTAGTGTACACTCCACCAGAAAAGTTACATTGTTCACCTTTCGTTTCAAGGTAAAAAAAAAAAAAAAAAAGTTTATCAAAGAAATAAATTAAATGTCATGAAACAAAAAATCTAGTCTGTTTACACAGTGCATACTATTACTGCTCTGTCTTCTGTTACAGGTATGACATCAAATCTACAGAGACCCTCTTTGACAACGCCACGCGCAGCAGAATAGTACGTACAAAGCTTTTCCCTTTGTTTTTCACACATTTGGTAATATCCAGTAATAACAAGTCTTTCCTCTTTTTAAGGTGGCTGAGATCATTTCTCGTATTACTTGTACACAAACTTGCCAAACCACTGGTAAGAACAGATTTGTCACTGCTAAAGCATTTGTAATGTCTCATTTATAGTAACTTGTTTTGGTCTTCTCCACAGGTATCCAATCATTACTGGCTCGAGGAGTATATGAGTCTGCCTTCCCTCTACATGACGTAAGTTTGAACAAGATTGTGTGTGGGGATCAGCTGTTAGCTCGCTGTTTAATGTTTTACACAGGACCATTCACTGTACTGTTTTATACAGGGGTCATTCACCAGGAGGGGGCGCAGGGACCAGCGCAATGACAGACAGGTGAGATCACCAAACCGTGTTTGACAATATTGACAAAGATGAGAATTTTACAAAGCAATATAGCAGTAACATTCCCTAGAACAGCCTTTTTTTTATAATTCAAATGTTTGTGTTTTTCTTTGACATTAAAAATGAAAAAACAAAACCAGTGATGGGTACAGACCAAATAAACATAAAATGCATAGTATTTACAACATCTAAACTGATGCAGACACAAATAAACAAAAACCGTCCCAATCGCATTCATTCCCCAAAATGTTTTCACATTCAGCAGTGTCTATTATCACATTTTTAGTATAGGAGAACTAGGCTCCTTCCACATTCTCAAAACTTGTTCAGGGCATGTCACCTAGACAATATTTTTTTTTAGTTGTTGTTGTGCAACTTTGTGTCTTTTTTTTCTCCAGCCCTTATCCTTGAAAACGTGTCTTGTATTCGCAGTGTTAGAAATAATTTTTTTCTAACTGTCTCTCAGATTCTCCATGAAGAATGGGCCAACTATGGAGTAATGTACAAATACCAGCCTGTGGATCTGATCAGGTACTTAGCAACAAGTCTAAACTGACAGAACTGGCTAAGGACTTTGAAACACAGTCCTGTATTTGTGTGTGTGACAGAAAATACTTTGGAGAGCAGATTGGCCTATACTTTGCATGGCTGGGAGTATATACTCAGCTCCTCATCCCTCCCTCACTGCTCGGCATCATCGTCTTCCTCTATGGCATCTTTACTGTGGACTCCAACATTCCCAGGTCAGTCCTCATAACTCATGGCACCTGCCTTTCATAGCCACTGTTGCCTCTGCTACCTCTTCCGCTGAAGATCTTAAGTGTTATTAAGTGTTGCATTTAGTTTTGTATTTGTTGCAGTTCTTGTTCTTTAACAATATGATACATTTGGAAAAGATTTTATCTTGCTTTAGAGTTAGTTATTCTGTCAGTTTGCAGTAGTAGTTGTTTTCAAAGTATTTATTAAAAGTTAGCAGTTATCACTGGAATTAGCATAGCATACGTGCTATTGACTCAATATTAAACCTTTCTTTGATCTAGTTTTATACAATGGCCTGACCGATATATTGGTTGTCCGATATTATCGGCTGATCTGGGCACTTGGAGACATATTGGCTATTGGCCTTCATCTTGCCGATATGGGCTGATAGTTTACGTAGGCATGTTATACCTCATTATAAAGCATAGATTCTCTATATTATGTCCAATTTACAGATAAATGTCCTAATATGTGCCGCCGCATCAGTATTTATCTGCAGAGTAATTTCTTCGTGTCTGTGATGTCATACTGCCCCTGAACACACCCCCAGAGTCACGTCACTCACGTGCGTGTGTTTACACCTGCACGCAGCCATAGATCCATGTGCAAAACACTGAGGCCTGCTTTAAATGCTCTTGAGTCTGATCAGCGATATTGACTATAAATAAAAGTGAACTTTAGTGCAATTTCGGCCAAAATTACTGCTCGTTTTATCACAGTGCGAGTGTGGAGAACAAAGGACTGTCTCCACAGACAGAAGACACACACACAGCTGCTGTCAACATGCTGGATTATAATATTTTTATAGATGATTGTTTTGAGTCAAGATTAAATGTACACTTATTTGTGAAGACTTGTGATCTGAGAGGTCCCTGTGTGAGCGGGGAGTGTTGCAAATGTGCTGGTTTTGGAGCTACTTTTCACTCTTTCTCACTGGTTAGCTTTTAGTTGGTGTAGCTACCACACATAAACGTGCTGTTTTCTCTTCCACTGGCTTAGTGTAAAGTGACTACAGTGGCTGTACGCACATTACTGGACCTGCATTGATGTGTAAATGAGCTGTGAAAAGAGGCGTGCATGATCACCATTTCCGCATATAAGTAATTACCGCTACACCATACACATTTACCGCTAAAGGCTGATAGCGGTAGTTTTGACTTTTTTTACAGATTAGAAAGTCATGGAAAAATGCCATAAGACCGACCTACTGTCCTTAAATATGACTGTAAAGATTTAGAATAACAGTAAATTTTGCCTAAACAAACCCAATTTAAAATCCAATAGAGCCAGACCTAAGTTTTGTAATCTGTTAAAGATTTACAGTGAATTTGTACATCACTAAATATATAAATAAATATATAAATATATTGGCTATCGGCACCTCCAACTCCCATTTTATCGGTATCATATCGGCTGCAAAAAAATCAATATCAGTCGGGCCCTACTTTATACTGGACAAATATGCACCAAAAGTGTATAGCGAATCATAACAATTTGACAGTAAAATATTTGTTTTATTTCATCAAAGCACCTCAAATCTTGCACACATTAATGAGGTTTAGAAACTGGAGCTGGAAGTTAGATAGTGACTGTTGTTATTCATTGGCAATTGGCAATTGTCTGTGTTGTCTTCATCAAAATGAATGTTTTTATTTATCCTATTCAAATTAATGTGATAGCATGTTATAATAACAATTCTAAACATGTGTCTTGTAGAAGGGTCTAAAGTTCTTTTAATCACTTTAAAGCACTTCATGGTCCAGCACCAGCCTACATCTACAATATGTTAAATCTCTGTATCCCGCCTAGAACAATGCTCATTTGAAATAGGTCTTAGGGAAATTCCTCAAAAGAGAGGAATGAAAATTGAGATGCTGCTTTTATAATGTACACTGTGGTACTAATTCCAGACATAAGAGGAGCCCCAGTTCTTAGTACTTACTTAGTACGTCATAGCACCTCCCTCAATATCCTGTGCATGTTCATTCAATTCTTTGGCTCTTCCCTCTGCTCTGACAGTGAGGAGACCTGTAATGACAAGCTGAACATCACTATGTGTCCTCTGTGTGATGGCGTCTGTGACTACTGGCAGCTCAGCTCTGTGTGCTCTTTGGCCAGAGCCACGTACCTATTTGACAATGGAGCCACCGTCCTCTTCGCCATCTTCATGTCTCTGTGGGGTAGGCATCACTTACACTGTCTCACTTCTCAGCTGGTCCCATAGCAGAAGTACTCCTCAATATTACAGCAAAACAGAGATGGACAGAGAGAGAGCTGTCCACCACCGAATGTTATCACCTAACAAAGGCTAGGCTACTGTAGTGTGTTGAGAGACTTGTCTAGCTGGGAAAATACAGATAAATCTGCATAGGTTATTATTAAGATTATTGTAAATATGATCAAATTTAATCTGACAGACATATTGTGAATATATTTACATAATTTATTCTAAGACTAGGTATACTCTAAATAGGCCTGTTTAAAAATAGTCAACATAAAAGAAATTTAAAAGCCAAAAACCTTAAATAATCTTCTGCCTTTTCACCACGATTGCAACATTTGTGAAATTGTGCATGTTTGTGAGCCAGGAAAACCAAATCTCTGGCCTAGTTTAGCAGTTTAGTAGTGTCTAAAATGCATATGAACATGATTGGGGGGATTTTCCAAAACAGCAGAAACACACCTGATTATACTCACAGAGTACAGTTCAATCCTACAAGGAGAGGCATTTAAGTGCATGGGGAAGAACAGGCAGGGTTTATGGGTGTACTCACTAATTTTTGATCAGTCAGGACATAAATGATAGTCCTTTTATTGTGTACTAGTTTACAGTAAAAGGGGAAATATTTGACCACAATGATGTTGTTTTCCTTGTAGCTGCATGCTTCCTGGAGCACTGGAAAAGGCGTCAGATGTATCTGAAACATGCCTGGGACCTGACCAGTATGCAGGATGAGGAGGTGAGCTGGGTCACACGAACAGCTGACTGTAGATGGTGCAGTTCAAATGAGCTTGTCAAATATTTTCAGTACAGTATATTTCATCTCCAGTATGTCTGAATACATATCTGCACAATTTAATAACACCAGAGCAGAAATATGTATGTGTGTTTTTATAAAATGTCTATTTAAAATGCAAACATGGCAGACGGATAATGTTTAAAGGGCCCATATTACGCTGTTTTGTGATCTCTGTTATGATGTTGTTTTCTCATCAGAAACATACCTGGAGTTGTGCTCTTATTCATTCAGAAGTGTTTAACACGCAAGCCCTGCATATTTAGGCTCACTCACCCTGTAATGTCATATGATAACACAGAAAGTGCTCCACTATTTTTTTTGTTTATGAAGGTGTATCTCCATACACCTTCACTAGAATTATTTGGATAATTTCAGCCCCGGAATTACCAGTCTCTACTGAACTAAAGGTAAAAAGTAGCTGTTAACTTCCCTTGTTAACTGCCAATTTTTGACACCACAAGGTGGAACAGAGCATTTTCAGCTTTGGAGATGTAAACAGACTAATAATAAAGGATTGTTCATACGTGTGAATGAAACAAAACACAGCTCCTGTTTTTGATGACGTACAACATGATAACATGGCTTAAAGCTCACAAGAGTCCATTTTGTGTAATATAGGGCCTGTCAATCAGACATATGAAAGAAAAGCAGAAAAAATTACCTTGTGGATAACAGTGGGGCAAGGGCCAAGCATCTACCTTCGGACTGGAGGGTTGCCAGTTGGACACCCACCAGAACAAAAATGATATATATTCCAACAATAACACAACATAATCTTAGCCATGTGGCATTCTAAAAGTGTGTTTGAGGTCTGTGGTCATGTAGGGTGAGACAACCTTTTGACCTGCGCTGGAGTTGGTTATGGAGGGCTTCTTTAGATTGCACTGGAGATTATGGCTCATGTCTTAGCCCCCTGTGCCTGATATAGACAAACACAAACACTCAAATAGTGCAGCCTCAGACTTATGGCCGGGCCTTTAATGGGATAGGCCTGTTCTGAAAACACTGGGCAGGAGGAGGGGGGTAAAGGAGGTATACAGCAGCATACATCTAATGAACTGAACTCTCTCTTTTTGTGTGTGTTTGTAAATGCTGCGGTCTATAGGAGCGTGTGCAGGTATGTATCCTCTATCCAGTGCTACTTAATAATAGTGGAATGTTATAATAACCATAACATCAGGTTTAATTGAACGCCTTATAAGAAAACACAAAGCAACACTTAATAATAACTGCACTTTTAATAGCCTTAGTAAACCATGAACAAAGCCTTAATTCATAATGAACAAATAGTAGCATTAGCAGGAGGAGACCCTCCTCCAGGTCAAATAGGGCTTGTGAAGATGCAAGCCCACTCTCAGTAAAGACATAAAAGTAAAGATTCTTTCTAAGGTAAATTATTTTGCTGAAACGTTACATTTGGCTTAAAGTAGTTACTAAGCTTCATTCATCAGTATGAATATTATACGTTTTTGTGCATACATTAATTAGGCTAATTAAGGTGTAGTTATTATAAAATCACCATTTTATAATAACTACAAAACAAACTGCAAATCCACATTAATTTAACAGTAGTTCATTCACATACGAATGCTTAAATAATGCATTTTGTTGTTCAATTCGTACAATTCTATTTATTTTATTCAGCCTCAAATCACAACACATCATAGGAATTTTTGAGTCTAGCAAACTTTTACATAAATAGCGCAAATTCAACGTTTGTTAAAACTTCACCAAACTGATCATTTGTCCACTACAGAACATGAATGTGCTAGTAACATCTATTTGTTACCAGCTTCTTCTGTACATGTGAATTGTTGCAGCTAATGTTGCTTATGAATATAACCATGCTTGTGTGTGGTGTTTTAGGAGGAGCTGAGGCCAGAGTACGAGTCAGCTTTGCAGGAGAAAAGAGACAAGATGAAAGCTCAGACCAAAGAAAAGGTTAGTAGGACCTCCTCTAAGCTCTTTGGAAAAGTATCATTATATAGATCCCTTTGAAGTTTGTAAACAAATACATTCTAAATCCTGGAATGCAGGGAATAATTCCAAAGGAGAAATAGTGATAAGGCTTCGTGTCGTCAAATATATAACTGTCATTTCTACCTTGGAAATTTTCTTGCTTATTTACTGTTATAAAGAGAGAACAACATCATTTAGATCTGATGTCAGTTGATCATTAAAAATGTATTAAAGTTTACATAATTTTGCCTCTAGTCGCCTCCATTCTGTAATTCTGATGATGACTATTTTAAAGGGTCCCCAGCTGTTTGAATGTGACAGATTTTAATAGTTATGTTAAATATTACATATTTTAATTGTTATGTTATATTAATTGTTGTGTTAATTGTATGTTACAGGTGAAAAATGCATATGAGCTGGATGGTGAGACAGATCGAATGCTCTTCCTTCAGGTACGACAATGTGATGGTTTGGGGAGGGCTGTCCCCAAACATACCAGGGTCCACTCAGGTCAACCACACTAGACACTGGACACTGTGACTAAGCACTAAAATCAGTTCTCAAATTACACATCATATAAAGGTGCATTTCTGGATTTTATTATTTGACTCCATATTGCAGCAAAGGTCAGACCAAGCTATAGGTCAGATCTGTGGAGAGACAACCTCAATCACAGCAAGAATGCATGTTTTTAAAGATATTATTGAGCATAGATCAGAAATTTACATAATATAGGCTCTTTGTGTTAAGATAATTACAGAATGCTAACATTTTCTACTAAATGTAAATACCTTTCCTAAATCATTTTAATGATCCTAGATCTCTCTCTCTGCACACCATACTGTTGTTTGTGAGCACGTCACATGCAGTTGAACCCCTGCTTCTACAGGCAGTAGTTGAGTCCAAAGCAGCTTACCTGGTGAGATTAGCCCTGGTTACACATGGATAGAGAGAAGAGGAGGAAGAGAAGGATGAAGAGGGAGGGGGGATCACACCTCTCTGTGTCGACATAAAGCAAGACACCACCATATTTACTGTATGTGTGCTGACATGTGAGGTTTAAATGGATTAAATACATGTTCGTACACAGCAGAATTACCTGAGCCCCACTCTCATGATTAAGGCATTACTCTTATAGTTATTTCATACATCTTAACTATTTTAAAGGTTTATTGCTTAACTCCTGTTGAAGAGTTTATTCATTGTTGCTGAAAAATGAGAAATATACATTCCTGACTAAAATGACAGTGGCAAGCCAGCTGGCATTAGCCAACAGTTTCATTCTCAACTTTTTGTTGAAAATCAGACATCTAAACAGAACCATAAACACTTGTATTGATCACAGGCTCCTGAAAATTTGTTGTGTAAAAACATTTTGTTTTAGTTTTTTTGCAGTGTTTGCTAATGTGTGCATAGTGTCACCATGTTAACTGCTGAGCATTCTGCTATATAGACACACATTTAGAACACCCCCAGCGTGATGTCACTGCAAATATCAACTGGGGGTAGGATTGCCTTTCCACAGATCTGACCTGTAACTTGGCCTGGTGGCACCACCTGCTCTCCATGGAAATAATTAAATTCAATGCCAACACTCTGCTCCACACAGCAACTGCAACTGGACTCTCTTGAGCATGCTAACAGGGCAGCAGCTTTACTTGCTGATTTGCCTGATACAAATGCTTTACAATTCTATAATATGTCTATGCCTTCAATATCTGTATCTTTCTGACTTCTTTCTACAGCAAGAGGTTGAGTCACTGAACATTGAAGATCATCTGTGTGGATACCTCATCAATGTGTCCACGTTCATTTTTTTGGTATGGAGAATACTTTAAGTCCCGTGTCATCATCACTGCCCAAACATAGAAAAAATACATTTATTGTTATCAGTGTAGCTATGTATATATCCACAATAGGTTGTGTTCACCTTCTGGAGTTAATATTCACCTTGTTTCTCTGTTTGAAACACTTTGGCTAATCAGATACAAAGAATCGTCATGAAGTTCCACCTTTTCCGAATTGCTTTCAGCAAGAGCCATTGATATATGTTCAACTCAGAGTGCTCCACAAACTTGTAATATTAATCTTCTGGCTTAAAGTCCTTTTAACTGACAACAATCATGTCTTTGGGGTTGAATAGTGGAACCATTTTTTGAAGCTATTGTCAGAGCTTCAGGTCAACAAATCAGCAATCTGATATTTAAAAAGCAAATTCGATTGTATAAATTTGACTTGTCACGCTCAGTTTAAACTATAGGGATTCTACAGCGTTGCGTTGTGAATCATTAAATGTTGATATGTTGCTCAGATCCTGGTGACCTTCTCTGCGGTTGTGGGCGTGGCTGTGTACCGGATCTGTATGCTGAGTGTGTGGTCCATGAACCCAGACCCTGAGGCCAAAGCCAGTGTCCGCATGACGGTCACCACCACTGGGATTGTGGTCAACATGCTGGTGGTCCTGGTGCTTGAGGAGGTGTACGGAGCCATCGCAGTCTGGCTGACAGAGCTAGGTACTGTCATAATGTAGGACTGACATTAGATCAGCCATTGATATATGTATCTTTAATAAGTAGGATTCCTCGCACAGTGCACTTTGTAAACTACGATGGCTGATGGAGGCCAAATGCACCGCAACAGCCCAATGTGCCTCAGTTAGAGAAAATAGCTTTAAGTACAAAAACGATGCAAATTCACAAACTCAAACACAAGTTTAAATGAGGTACAAACAAAGAACATGTTGCAGTTGAAAAAAACATGCTGCAAGGACCAAAGACAAATGTATCATCATCAAATGCAAATAGAGAAATGATGCAAAGCTAAAAATGATGAAAACCAAGAAAACACCTGCAAACCAAAAACGCTGCATAAAGAAGTGGTTCAAACCTGCAGGGAGTGCTCTCAGTGTAACAGCTCAATGGAGAGACACACCGCTAAATATCGCTGTACAACGTTGTACAGCAATATTTATATTATTTCTAAACACAGTATATGAATATAATAAAATAAAAGCCACAATACCGTAACAATAATTTGTTTCCGCTGTAGTTTATAGTCAGTTGGCCATTTTCTGTTTCTCTCATAAGCAGAGTATTTCTCTCCATCCGTTGTGGCCACTATAGTAAACCACTATAGAAGCATTCATGTTTGAGAGAGGGCTCAAAATAAAAAAGAATCTCATGCATTTCAGAACATGTCTGTAGAGGTCTAAACTTTGGTACAGTTTTTTTTTCTGTAAAAGTGATTTTAATCTTTGTAGATGACACTCTATTATGTAAATAATTGCAGCATTTGCAATTTGATAATTGCATAGAACACCACAAAATACCAAAAAAAAATAACGTAATGTTGGATAGGCACCCAAGCACTGGAAAAAAATGAAAAATTATGGTCTGATTTTGATAAACTTTTTTGATAATATCATTATTTATAGCATTTTTATTCATATGATTATTCAGAGCTTCTCTGTCAGTACAGCTCTATGCTCATTTCTCAAACACAAACTCCTCTTATTGGTCAGCCTCCAGAAAGGCTTTGAGTGAGTGACAGGTAGATTTTACCAACAACCAAAGTAGATGGCTTTGTTTGCTATCGTAGATATTGTAAAGATACTTTATGATAAGTGTAAATTAATCTAGATCAATTTGAAATCATACAGTTTTAATAAAGTGACAATACCACAACGATACACTGTTAAAATAATAGGAAACCTATTTGGGCAGGGATTTGACAAGGCTTTTACTGGAATTAGCTTTCACACAAGTGTTGTTTCACAGACCCTTACTTTTTCGAGTAGATGCATAGATACATGTGGACTCTGTTAAGAGGTACTGTAGTGTAAACAGGCTTGTTGTGTTTTTATTACCACAGAAATCCCCAGGACAAAGGAAGAGTTTGAAGAGCGTCTCATCTTTAAGTCCTTTTTCCTCAAATCCATGAACGCATTTGCACCGATTTTCTATGTGGCCTTCTTTAAGGGCAGGTATGTGCTCTAGCTCTCCCCCTGGTGGACAGATGTGGTTGCAGCAATGTGTATTTTTTAATAACCTTTTTTATCAATCAGGTTTTCTGGGCGCCCTGGTGATTATGTTTACGCTTTTGGTGATTATCGCATGGAGGAGGTGAGTTGGATTCATATTGTATTGTGAAGCTGAAAATAATTAATTTTAACATTTCAAAGGAAGAGACCACAACAAATAAAAGTAACTGAATACTACCCTTCTACTACCCACTACATTTATTTTTTGTGGTCTCTTCCTTTGTAATGTTCAAAAGTGCATTATTTTATTTTTAACTTTAGGTTCTCTGAGTAATATTATTTTGAAGTACTTTTAGAAGTTACTAAAAGTAAGAGTACTCTAGACATTACATCTGATTGTAATTGGAAGGACAAAACTTTTTAAAAATCTACAAAAAATCTAGAATAGATACAAAAATTTGAAAAAAATTAAAACAGTTTTTTTATAGCGCTTTTCACAGTAACTCAAAGACACTTTACAATAATGTAACACTAAAACAAGGCCAGGACAGACAAAACAAGAGAAAGCAGTCATGTGTGGGGGTTATAGGCTATGAGGAAAAGGTGTGTTTTGAGCTGTTTTTTGAAGATGTGAGAGAGTTCTGTAGGCTCAATCCCCCCAAGGTCCAGTGCTTTGATTTAACTGTGGGAGTGAGGAGGATTGAGTCATCTGATCAGATGCAGCGGGAGGGGCGGTGCAGCTGAACATGGTCAGTGAGGTATGGAAGGGATGAAGAGGTGGGTGTTGGAGTTCTGAACACCTCTGTCTATGCCTCTGATTGCGCACTTATGACTGAATCCATGTCCTGTGTCTTAGTGTGCCCCTCCAGGCTGTTTGATTGAGCTGTGCATCCAGCTCAGTATGATCATGCTCGGGAAACAGCTTATCCAGAACAACATCTTTGAGATCCTCATACCGTAAGTTTATACACCAGTTTATCACTGGTACAAATTATTTATAGTTTTCATTTTAATTTAGTTACATTAATTTGTCATGCTGCTGCAACACTTTTAAACCCATGTTTTGCCATTAGTATCCTCTAAACTCCAGCTTTTGTCATGTAACATTTTTACTTTATTGCAATAGGCCAATATTGCATATTTTTGTTAAATCCTTAAAGTGGAAAAATATGTTAAATCAACCATTATGAGCTTTTAACCATGTTATTATAGTGTTCCCTCATCATTATCTTCAATAGTTGCATTTTGATAGCTTGATTCACCAGCTGGTTTCACTTCGTGGAAACCATCTGACCTTGCAGAATCCGTGCATCATTCGTTCATTCGTTTTTCAATATAAAACCAAAAATAAGAAAACGAAAAAACAACAATTTTCTTCATTATTTATCTCCAAAACCAAAATGAAAAAACGGATAATGATTCGTTTTTTCAGTTTTCGATTTTGTGTTTAAATGAAGAATGGAAAAAACGGATAACGGCCGTTTCCCGTTTATGTGACTTCCGTGATTGCGATGCTGAACTTTTGCACCGCGTACGGACTGAACCAGGACTGATCCAGGTCCGAGACCAGACCAGGACCAGAGCGGGACTGAGACCGGGACCACACCGGGACCAGAGCGGGATCAGAGCAGAACTGAGACCGAGACCAGCAGTCCGAGCGGTTCCATGTCATCGTCTCCGTGCTGGTTCCGTGCGGGGAAAGTGAGAATGCGCTGTGGACCGGGACCAGACAGGGACCAGAGCGGGACCAGGGCGGACTCCGAGCTTTGACTCCGAGCCTCCACAGGGTCCGAGCCTCAGCTTCGAGCTCCGGCCCTGCCGTGGGCTCTGAGCCTCCGGTCTGGTCCTGGTCTGGTCCTGGTCTTGTCTCGGTCTCGGTCTCAGGCCCGCTCTGGTCCCGGTCTGGTCCCAGTCTCAGTAGCGCTTTGGTCCCGGTCTGGTCCCGGACCTGGTCCATTTGAACCAAAAGCTCTTAGTTCGATTCATTTTCATTGGTGTGAATGCGTCAGTCGGATGCTTTGCACCACCTCGGAACCAGCCGCGGTTTTTGAGCGCGGAGGACCAGAGCAGCTCTGTCTCGGTCTGGTCTCGGACCTGGATCCGTCCTGATTCAGTCCGTATGCGGTGCAAAAGTCCGGCATCGCAGTCACGGAAGTCACGTAAACGGGAAATGGCCGTTATCCGTTTTTTCCATTCTTCATTTAAACACAAAATCGAAAACTGAAAAAACAAATCATTATCTGTTTTTTCATTTTGGTTTTGGAGACAAATAGCGAAGAAAACTGTTGTTTTTTCGTTTTCTTATTTTTGGTTTTATATTGAAAAACGAATGAACGAATGATACACTGATTCTCCAGTCCTCCGCGCTCAAGAACCGCGGCTGGTTCTGAGGTGGAGCAAAGCATCCAACTGACGCTTTCACACCAACGAAAACGAACCGAACTAAGAGCTTTTGGTTCAAATGGACCAGGTCCGGGATCAGACCGGGACCAGAGCGCTACTGAGACTGGGACCAGACCGGGACCAGAGCGGGCCTGAGACAGAGACAAGACCGAGACAAGACCGAGACCAGACCGGAGGCTCAGAGCCCACAGCAGGGCTGGAGCTCGAAGCTGAGGCTTGGACCCACGGAGGCTCAGAGTCAAAGCTTGGAGTCCGCCCCAGTCCCGCTCTGGTCCTGGTCTGGTCCCGCTCTGGTCCCGCTCTAGTCCCGGTCTGGTCTCGGACCTGGATCAATCCTAGTTCAGTCCGTACCCGGTGCAAAAGTTTGGCATCGCAGTCACGGAAGTCACGTAAACAGGAAACGGCCGTTATCCGTTTTTTCCATTCTTCATTTAAACACAAAATCGAAAACTGAAAAAACAAATCATTATCCGTTTTTTCATTTTGGTTTTAGAGACAAATAATGAAGAAAACTGTTGTTTTTTTCGTTTTCTTATTTTTGGTTTTATATTGAAAAACGAATGAACGAATGATACACGGATTTTGCAGCGTTAGAATTCGTTCGACAGTAGGCGGGTGCTTTTTTCCTTTTAACCAGTCACTGCTATTTGGTCGTGATGTATGTAATGCACCACTAACGGGGCTAACTGGTATATTAAGCTTTTCCCAAATCCCATAGGAAGAAAGGCAATAATGTCCCCTTGATAAAATTCACCAAACATTCTCTTTGTTCCAGTTTTAAATTGTCGATCTCAAGAATCGTTGCCAACACAGAATATATGGCTCTTCGCTGATTAGCTGGTGCCTGAACTCACACTTCCGGGGTTCTTGCAAACCATCTAATGTATTCTGATTCCTGACCTAGTCGCTGGAGAAAAATGAAAATGAGCGACAGCACTAGGTGGCGCCAGCCTGACTAGCATTTTGATTGATTCCTGCGTGTTTTAGTAATCCTGTATTGTTCTAATCTGAGGCTTGAGTGCTCAGAAAATGTCTGTTTTCACCTACCCCCTTTCTCTTCACCCATTGTGATTATTCTAAAATTTTAGTCACAGTGTCAACTGTAGGTTGTAGGATGTAGGTTTCAAAAGTGTTAAATAGCACACCAGATAAATAAAAATATGCTACTTGTTCCAGTGAAATGTTGCTATGACGTTTTACAGAAGTCAGTGGTCTTGTTTCTATTATCAAGCTGTTTTAGATCAATATTGCAGCTTGCAATGAACAAAATATAAAATCATGATGTATATGTTATAGTTGATTACTAAATACCCCAAAAAGCATAAAATGTTTTCTTATAATACACTACACCAATCACTGATTTCTCACTGATTATGATTTCTGTACATGCAGCAAAATGAAGAAGATGTACAGATCATTCCAGGAGCAGAAGGGGGCGAGGAAAGCAGCAGAGGAGGAGGAGAATGAGGCGGAGGGCAAAAGACCAAAGCAGCAGTACCACAAGGACCACACGCTGGAGCCATACGAGGGAGTCACCCCCGAGTACATGGAGATGAGTGGGTCCAATACAACTCTTTCTATGATCCTATATACACACAGCTTTGCATACTCAAATTTTTTTAAACCAACTCAAGACCCTTATCCTAACCCTTACTCTGCCTGTACAACATGCCCATAACCTGCACAAATGTCTAATCCTTTGTTTAGGTACTCCTGAATGTGAATCTCAAGTCAAGATCTCCTCTTTGCACTACAGTCTTCTCTTGCCTGATCAGCCAGTCCCTCATACATTCTGTTTGAATGCGGGGGGGTCTGGAATTGGATCAGAAAGTGTGACAAGTGTGACTTACTTGAGACGTTCCAGTCATAGCCACTTATTTGTAGCACTCTATTTGTAGCTGTCTAATGCAGAAGACATCTCCTCTTGAATATTCTCGTATCGTTTAGAACAAAATGGTCATGGTCATGGTCACATTTTTATTCCCTCTGTGTATCCAGTTATCCAGTTCGGGTTTGTGTCTCTTTTCGTGGCCTCCTTCCCTCTGGCTCCAGCCTTAGCTCTGCTCAACAACGTCATTGAAATCCGACTGGATGCCTCCAAGTTTGTGACGGAGATCCGCCGGCCAGACGCAGTCCGGTGTAAGGACATAGGTATGGCCACTACACTGTTTATGCATGCGTGTGTTTAAAGGAGACATGAATAGCATTGTGGACTTTAAAATTATTATCAAGTTCCCCTTTGTCGCCTGAACTGGTCTATCTTTGCAACTTCTCAGAAAACATTATTCACCAAAGTGATATATATCTTTTCAAAGTCATGTCATTAGCTGCCAAAAAATCAATAACCAGGAACTGGGGCACAACTTCTGTGCCTTCAAAGGATCAGTGGACATCTACAATAAAAGACATGTATCTAATGGAAAAAATAACTCATAGACTGAGATTGCAAGAGACACAAATGAATAAGAAATGGGAAAAATTGACATTACATATGCAAAAGTAGAATATTCAAGTGTCACCTAGGCTTCTGTTTCTGTTTTTATTTCCTTTTATTATTATTATTATTATTATTATTATTATTATTATTATTATTATCCTCTTTTTTATATTTTCCTGTTATGTTCAAATACAATAAAAATAAAGTGATTAAAAAAAATATATATATTATCAAGTTAGTATGTCTTTAATGGGCTAAATGGCTTTGTTTCAACTGTTCAACACAGTTAAAGCCAGGGAGTGGCCTATTGAGGGGTTTCAGATGGTTTAACAGTTGTGAATTTACCTTTTGGATATTTCATGACAAAGCAAAATGCAATCAATAGGGAAATCTATAGATTGTGGTGATTTTGTGTCAGTTATCATTATTTTTCATTTATTTGATAGTTGAGAGAAATTATTCCCCTCATTTTTATGAACAAGCTTTTTGATTTTTACATGAATGTATTAACTTTTAGGGAGCCTATTACCATCTGGCAAGGGGGAGTGTTGATAAAAACTAGCTTTTTGGCTAATTTGGGTACATTTACATTATTGTAATGTTTATTAATATACACTGTCCCACTGAGCTAAATAAATAAATAAATTGGATCACCATCAAATTTGACAAAAAAATGATTTGTTGTGAGCATGAGCCCAGAAAGTTGCAATGGCTGACTCTTTAGTCTAATTATTTGAAGTCATTAATGAAGTGCAAACATATTTTAAAAAGTCCTATATTAAAGCATTAACAGGTCTCCTTCTATATGTTTCTCTCTTGCTTTCCACTGTCCTACATAACTGCATATTTCCCACTTTCTTTTTTCCATGGCATCTCAGGGATTTGGTACCACATTCTGAGTGGAATAAGCAAATTTGCTGTTATTACCAATGTAAGCATGTGTGTTGGTGTAGCCTTAGTTTAGCCTTAATTTTGCCACAAAATTGTGTTCTTTGTGTTTTAATAGCATTGTTTACTATTCCTGTTCTTGGCATTTTTAGTGCAAACTATGTAAATTTGAAGCTTTGTGTTCAATATTGTCAAAATTTGAGTGCATACTGCCACTGCAATTTCAAGTACTATGTGACATCACATAGGACTGCCCTGATTGCCAGGTGTTTATGATTACAAACACCTGCCTGCAGGGGCGGGGTTTAAAGTGTGGACACCTGTTAGACCAATCACACTGTTGCTTATAATACTTTCAGACCCCGCCCCTCTGCCAACCTCACTCCTTAGTCCTCCAGGCACTGCCCAGTTTAGCAGCTCTATTTGAAATGTGGTTGTAGTTAGAGTTTAGGTCTTTAATTCGGGTACATCATACGAAATTAGTAACATATACACTATACAGTACTATTACAATTGTATTCTTTTTATTAAGTTTGGTTTCAGCACCATTCTGTAGTCTGCTAATCCTCATTCCCTACCAGTACTTTACTGACAGATGTGTTGTGTGCCAGGCGTTTGTGATCTCCTTCACATCTGAGTTTGTGCCGCGGATGGTGTACCAGTACATGTACAGTGTGAATGGCACTATGGCGGGCTACACCGAGCACTCGCTGTCCTACTTCAACGTCAGCAACTTTGCCCCAGGATCTGCTCCCACCTCCACTCTGGTCACCGGAGTGTCCATGTGCAGGTGAGAAGTGTCTGTCTTTAGCAAACCTGGTAAAGCAAAGCTGTTGCCCTGTTGTCATGCTAGTTGTTGTTAGCAAAACTCTGCTCTGGTCTCTGAAAGTTGTAATGAGTGCTTAGAAACTCATCATGCTACGAATCCATTAGGAAAGTGTTGAATAAGTTTGTAATTTGTTTGTTTGTAATACTGTAATAAATGCTTTGTAATAATGTAATATAGTAATACAGTAAGTAAATACCAGTTGGACCTCAGGTGGCTCATAAAGTTAAAGCTAGTATTTGGCTGGATAGGTGCACTGAATAGGGCTGAATGATTTGAGAAAAATATCTAATTGCTATTTTTCTGACAAGCACTGCAATTGCGATTAGATTTGCAATTAATGTTTCAACACATTTAAACGCGTCAAGAAAAAAATGCTGGAAAGACTGAAATATAAGCAAAAACTAATCACATATATTTCACAACATGTTTGTACAGATCTAATCTACAGGGTTAGCATTTTGTATGCAAAATAAGACAGGAGATTTTGGTCTTGTGTGTGTAGGACATTATGTCACTTCAGAAATTGCAGCCTTTGGGTTTGCTAATGTCGCCCATTCAAATTGTGATTTTGAGACAGTTCTGCTAAATTTTGCAGCCCTAGTACTGAAGCTGTGCAACTTGTCTCTCAGGTATAAGGACTACAGAGACCCTCCTTGGGCACCTGAAGCATACACCTTCTCTAAACAGTACTGGGCAATGCTGGCTGCCAAACTCGCCTTTGTAATTTTCTTCCAGGTAAGAACACATCCTGGAACAACAACAACTTAAGTTCTTAGGTAGGTTATTGGGTTGCCCCACAGCTCTTTTGTTTACTTTTTAATGTTGTTTAAGCAAATGCATTTTCAGTGGACATTGTGGTCTATTTTACATAAACATGGTGGATTTTTCTAATTTGTTTTTTTGACTTTCCCAAGTTCCATACAGTCTCCTATTTTTTTACTATACAGCTTGCAAAACCTCCACTGTTTTCTGCCCAGAACCTTGCCATGTTCCTGAGCCTGGTGGTGGCGTGGATCATTCCCGATGTGCCACGCTCACTCCGGGACCAGCTGAAGAAGGAGAACATGATGCTGATGGAGTTTCTGGTGAACCACGATAAAGAGGCGCGCGACCGCAGCCCCAGGCTCTCCCCAGGGTCCATGCCCAACATCCATGTGATTATAGAGCCTCCAGCTGAAGACCAGGAGGACGAGAACGTGCTGGAGGAGGACACACTGAGCTTTGGCAATGACTACATCCACCCATCAGACAGTGACCCAGACATAGTCAAGTCATTCGCTGAAGCAGCAGAGGAGCAGCCAGGTCACACGGAGCCATCACAGGACAGTACAATAGAGCAAGACACTGGAAGAAACAGAGAAGAGGACCAAACACAGGATTGTGAGGAGACAAAGGAGCAAGAGAAAGAGCATACAGAGAGGGAAGAAGACGAGAGTACAGAAAACCCTGAGGCTGGAACAGTGGATCTAGATGCTCTGATGACAGAGCTGGGTATGTCAGGTAAGGTGGAATATGGCATAAATACACTTCTATAATGCCCTTATGTTCCAATTTATAATGAGTGAATGTATAAACTGAATGTATAAGTTTATTGAAATTTGTGTTAATATCAGTTGTTGTTGTCCTGCAGATGAACCGCCTTTGTCCAGCACAGCAGAGCCTCCTCACTCAGCCTCCACTCAGCAGCTCCAGAGTGAGCCCCAGAGTGAGCCCCAGTCCCCTGTTCATGTCCCATCTAAATCCAACTCATCCCACAGTCTGCAGCCCTCCAGTTCACCATCTGACACCTCTGACTGGAAACCCTACACCTTGATCCACCCTCCTCCTCCACGAGCAAAGGGTCGCTGCTCCACCCTGCCTTCCCGCCACCAAGGGGTTCAGGCGTGTTACAGCCTGCCCCGGCCCACCTACTCCAGCAGCCTCTCCAGCAGCCTCTCTAGGCTGCAGCAGACCCCTACTCCTTTGCTCCCACTGGGCCCAGTGTCCACACCAACACAAGCCCCAGAGCAGGCCTCGAGGTCCCCAAGCTCTGGCCCCCTCCAGACCAGAGGCTCCACTGAACTGTTCTGTTTGAAAGGACCCCCACCCCAGGCCCCACGCTCCAGGGCTAAGGGCCGCTGCTCCACTCTCCCTCCCCGACAGAGACCGCCAGGGCCAGAGGAGCATTGCACCAGACCCACTCATTCTACCAGCTTATCCTCACTGGGAGAGTGTGTGCCCCCCTCTCCCAGTGAACTGAAGCGCAACACCCCTGTTTGATAGGCATACTAGAGGTGGGGGGGTCCTGTACCTCCTCTAGGGCTGTCAGGACTGTCAGACTGACTCTCATACAGGAGATGGGCGGGGTCCTGTACCTGCTCAGCTCTGAGATTATCAGAACTGTCAGACTGAGCTGAGATTGTGTGGGCCACGCCCACTAAACCTCTCTGTACATGATCATGTGAACATGTGTTGGTTTTACTGCTTTGTAATGTTAATGCTCTTATGCTACAGCTCTGCCTTGTAGAACAGAGGAGACTGATACATTTATTACAATTTACAAAGCATCAAATAGATCGCTGCTCTGTTTGACTATGGTTTTTTGATATATAAAGTATGTATAATGTACAAAATAAATAAAACTCAATATTTTTGATTCTAAGTGGGTACATTTACATGGGAAGATCAGTATAAAGTATAATAATCAGGTAATCCAATAATTAGATCTTATTTTCAGTGTGTGGAGAAATCTGAAACGCATCTGGTGACATGTGTCAGTAAATCAGTGGATTTTTAGAAGAACTGTTGTATAGGAACTGTTGTATTGTCTTTGCCTCATTAGTTTGCCCTTTTCTTTGTCTAATTTTCTTTGCCATAACCTGCACAGGTGTGAACTATCAGAAAGAAATCAGATTACTCACATCGTATTAACTGTTTATATGACATTTAATAATCAGATAATGACCTGATCCTTAGCCATGGTTAACTGACTACTTCCACATTGCATTGGTTCACTGTCTGTGTGCTTTTATTGCCCTCTACTGTAGATAGTAGTACTAACACACATCCTCTTTCAACACTGTTAATATTAACCCTAAATGAGTTAATATTAACAGATCATTTGCATATTTCCTGGTTTATTACCACCTCTCATTTGAACAGCACTTTTTTAGTTCAGTCCATGTTTACTCTGACGATTGCATTACAGTTGTGTCTTTAGACCATTTGTAAACATTTGTCTACTCTCCCCTGTGCTGCTGTTTATACCCCAGGACCTCTGCTGGCTCCTCCCCCCTTCCTCCCTCTGAATGGGTGCTTTGTGGGGGCTTCCCAGCATTCCAAGTGAATTCTCGCAGGTGAGGTTGCACACTAAATCCTATTCTCAGATGACTTGTTTCTTTCCTTAAACAACCACAGCTATAGAATTCAAAAGTTTGTTTTTTTTCCAACTGTGAAGGAGTGATCATCTGTGCAAAGAGAATGAGAGGGTGGGATCATTTGCTATCCAGGTGAGCAGTGTTACGTTGCGGCTAATAGCTTTTCTCATGATGCAGATTTGGAGAAGAGCTAAGCTAGGACGCGAGTCAATATTTGCTCTGCCTGTGTGTGTTTCATGTGCCCTACAAAGAATGGACACTCATTAGATAAAGCAGGAAGCGGGCAGGGGACAGCCAGAACAACTACAAGGTTACAAACAAGATTATTAGCAAGGTAAGGCAAAGCGATTTGAAATGATTATGTTGCTTTTAATTTCATAATTTAATTTGGATTGCAGGGGGTAATATTTGTGTTGCTACGATACTAAACTTTCAAACTCGATTTCAATACTAAGGAATGGAATTGATACTCAATACCGATTCTGATACCACAATGATAATAAAAACACTTTTTTATTTAGACAATAGAATAGAATGAATGTGATTCTGGACATCAAATCATAGCACTTTCTTTTATTTTACCACATGGTTTTATACCTGTGTAATCCCTATATATATATCCCTATAAGTATATGTGGTCTCATACTCAAGCTATTCAGGAAAGGTTCATTTCTATCCTCTTGATGTGACTTTTTAGTATCAATACTTCAAATAAGTATCTAGTTTCAATACTAGTTTTAGTATTGACTAGTATATGATTTTTGATACTTTTGACAAACCTACCAGATATAGCAAAATTTTCTGTTTTTCAAAGAAATTACCAAATTGAAAAACTTTAAATGTTGAACCACCACGAACGTATCATATTCAATTTGAAAAAACAAAATATTTATTGTGTAATACTTTACTTATTACTCATTTATAGCGGATGTGTGTTTTAATACAGTCTAACATTCTTACTCAGGATTCCCAGCTCCTCTCCCCTTTGTTGCAACTTGTCAAGACTGCCTGCAGGTATGTGAGCTTTCCCATTCTGTCTTATGAACCCACCGCACAATGAAATACACTCACAGTTTATCCGTCTCAAAGAGAGATTGTTAGATTTTCATGATGTTTGGACAAAAATAGTTTATCACTCCATTGGGCAGAGTCCACCAGAGGAGAGGACTTATCTGTGGTGTCAAGGCACTTATCTGCAACGCCCTTTGATATATATTGTCATGGGCGATGTGTGTTACTAATGGAGCTCAAGTTTAATTTTGTCATGAAGTTCAGCGTGTCAATTTTTTTTTCATTTAGAAAGAAATATTTTTGAAGCATAATTGCAAAACCTATACAGCTATTTTTTATTTAAAAGTAATAAAAAATAAATTAATAAGAATTCCATTTTATTTTCTTCTTTCTAACTACAACCATTGTAACAAAATTACATTAAAGATGTACTATGTCAGTTTTTAAGTAGGGGATGCACCACCTACTTGTTTCCATGGAGATGATATTTCTTTGCCTTGAGTGGCCTAGTGTATTTACAGCACTTGCTCTCCATTAATGTATGCTGTTTCACTTAAATAAATAAACAATAAATGAATAAACAAAATTACACCTTCACAGCAAAATGGTTCAGGGTTCAACTCTCACATCACCCAAGGCCTTTGTGTGTGGAGTTTGCACATTCTCCCTGTGTTTGGGTGGGTTCCCTCTGGACATTTTCCTTCCCCCCATTAACTCAAAACATGCACAATAGCTAAATCCTCCAGCTAAGATCTGGAGATGAGTCCCGGGCGCCACACTGCAGCATCGTTACTGACAGGTTGCCTCAGTGACATTGAAGAATGAGGACAAATTTCCCTATGGGGAAAAGTATATCTTAAACTTAGCCTCAAGTATTCTAACTGCTCAAAACTAACTAGAAAAACACGCAATCTTACTGTGAGCGAGGTTGCCTCTTCACAAGTCTGACTTATAACTTGGACTGGTGGCGTCACCTGCCTGTCTCCACTGTTATACTGTGTATATGCTCCAGAAGTGGCATAGTTCACTTTTAATATGTAATATGATGTTCTGTCCCCCAACAGCAGCAGCATGTTGCAGACAGTGCAGGAGTGGCTCTGGTGGGAGCGGCTGTGGTTACCAGTGAACGTGTCGTGGTCAGATCTGGAGGACACAGAGGACAGAGTGTACGCCAAAGCCTCTCAGCTCTACCACATCCTCCCATTCGCCCTGGGCATGCTGCTGCTTCGATACCTATTTGAGAGGTACGGCACCATTCTCCCTGAAGTAATAACGCCTTGCAGCATTGCAGACTTATGGCAACCTGTAAGACAACCTAAATTACAGTTTTTTTCAATCTCTTGGCACATTTATCAGTTGAAAATTGACATTTGCAAAATAGTTCACACAAAATACTATTATATTATCTCAGTAAAATGCAGTTTTACATTCAAAACTGATCAATCATCTCCCAAAAGCAAGTTTTACCATCAAACCTCTCAAACTCGTGCTCTTTCTTTCATTTGCCAGTGCATCTTGGAAGTTTTAGTTCTTCTCTCAGTGACCATAGAGAATCACTGATCTAGTGCAGTTTGTGCATTACACAGATGAAAAGCTGGAAAAGCTGTGCTTTTTTGTCTAGACCTGTCTGTATTGTATGTGAAGTATAACTGTACACATTACCAATTGCAAAGTAGATTTACATATTTATGCTGAAGAAAACTGAAAGATGTTGGGGAATAAAAACACATGAATACTTTTGAATGAGAGTTGTGTCAAATGTTGTGAGAAAGAGCCTGAGAATTGTGTGAACTGATGAGAAATGTTCCAAATGTTTTCACCACCTGTGCCTCTGTTCAAATACAAGTTTCAAAAAAATGTGCTTAAACAATTGAAAAAAACTGTAATGACAGTAATGACCACTAGAGCCACTGTGGCACCTGGTATTCCCAGTGGTCTCCCACCCAAGCACTTTGCAGGCCCAGCCCTGCTGAGCTTCAGAGCTCAGATGAGACCAAGGATTTACTAGGTAGCATGAACCTTCTCCTGGTTAGCATCCTGCTTGAGAGATGAGACATGACTAAGAAAGAGGAGGTGTGGGTGTGCTGGGAGTTGCAGAAATAGCATTGCACAAGCTGCCACTAACGAGGGAGTCAGCGTCTGGAGCTTATGAGTAAACAGAGAGGTAGCAATTACTTACATCATTAACTACTCTTTTTAATGAAGTGTACGTGTACTGTAGATTTGTCATACTATGTCAGGGATCTCCAACCTTTTTCTTCCTGTGAGCTACTTTACAAAACAAAAATGCCAGAGAGCTACTCAGTGCCACAAGAAATTGAGACGATTTTAAGAAAGAGGGTGAGCCTTCGGGAACAATTGGATGCCGATAAAACATAAACCATTGTCCATTCATTAGTGCACACAGTTGGGCTTTAAACTGACACATGTATAATAGTAATAGGCATGTAATTAACCACATTTTTGTTATTCAGCACAATAGTACAATTCCGAAATCACTTGGCAAGCTACTTGGAAGGGAATGGAGAGCTACAGGTTGGAGAAGTAAAAATTCAGTTCAAAGTTGACATTTTAAAAGTGTCCATTTATTCCAGTCCAGTTATTTTGTTTTGGGGTTTTTTTGTAACATTTCTTTCCAAGATTAGTTTAGTTATACTGTATTTCTGTATTATTATTTTGAAGTATTAGCGTGTTTTACAGAGTTTTATCGCCACTGTAAGTAGATAAGCCTTTATTGCATTCTTTCAAAGCTTTAGATTAGGAAAGCACAGGAGGTGGTCATGAGTGGCATTCACTGTTTACTTGTAGTATTTTTAGCACATGACTTTTTACTTCTCTTGATTCTTAATTCAACAATGCCCAAACAGAATAGCCCTATTAGTAAAATGTAAAAAAGTATTATTTTATGTTCTCTATTTATAGTTTATTTTTTACAACTACACCAAGCAAATTTGTCTCATGTAAACATTCTTATCAACACTATAACAAGCTTCAATTCCAAACAGTTACCCACTTGTTCTTAGTAGTAGCTTTATCACCAGATACTTTTACTTGTTACCATATTATTAGTTATATATGTGCAAATCTCTTAATTAAAACTGTACTATGTAACTGTTTGATGGAAGATCCCAGTATTCCGTTAGACTTATACATATTTTTTGTATTTGTTTATTTACAGATGTTTATATTGCTCAAAAATACCTTGAAAAACATGCATTCTTACTGTAAGTAGGGTTGCCTCTCCACAGATCTGACCTGTAACTTATTAATGACATCATCTGCTTGTTCCCTTGGAGACAGATAGGTTTAATTTCATATACTTTGGACTTTAACCAATAACTTTCCAGGCAAAGCAAGAACATCTCCATGGAGACAAGCAGACATTTTTGGCTGCTCTTCCCGCTGTTCTTACAATGGGATCCTTGTGTCCATGTGTTTTGTGGCAGGTTCGTGGCTGCACCGTTGGCTAATGCTTGGGGAGTGAGAGACAAAGCACGAGTCTCTGCAGAGCCTCACCCAGTGCTGGAGGAATACTACTGCACCAGGACCAGGTTCCCCTCACAGGTCTGCAGTCTACAATGTAAAGACAACACTACATTATGAAAAGGGAAATGAGTGAGAATGATGTGAAGACCTGTCACGATAATTACTAGATTGATTTATCATTCGATATACACTACCAATCAAAAGTTTAAACACACCCTGTTTTTCAATGTTTTTTACCTGGTCCTCGAAAGATTGACCAGGGTTTGTATTCACCCTGTATGTCTGTGTGTCTGTGTGTCAGACCACCCGCGATAATTCCGCCATTTATGGACCGATTGTCACCAAATTTGGTACGTGGGTCAAGCCCCCACGCCCGATGCCGCAAAACAAAGTTTGATGATAATCCGAGGTCATTTGAGGTCACACAGGTCAATTGAAAGGTCACACTATTATAAAGGATTGGCAATTTCACTAATTTCGGAACCTCTGCGGCCTAAAATATTCACCCAATCATCACACAAGTTGGTACACACATTACCGGAGTACACTGGATGTTACAGGTCAAGGTCACTTGAAGGTTAAGGTAACAAAGGTCAAATATGTGTTTTTGGTCATAACCCCTAAACTAAAATATTAATAGTTTTCGAGATAATCACCAATTATAACAGTTCCTTTCTCTTTCAGTGTTTGCCGTTAAAATTCTAATTGGAACTAAAATAATTAACATTTCTTCTTTTTCTGGTGATACACAACACACTGATTTACAGTCACAGAACTAACATATACGGAAATCATGAAAAATTACATTTTTGTTATACGTTAGTAAACACAGACATTCTCATGTGTGACCAGTATCATATAAATGATCATGGGCACTGTACAGCTAGACACACTGCATTGTGCATAAAACGATCATGTAATATGGGCTGGGCTCCTCATAAGCTGACTTCCATGGTGATGAACTGCCCCCACCAATGCCTCATGGGGGACCAGGTTGCTATCTCTGATTGCGCTTGTTTCTGTTTTTACTACTTTCTACATTTTATATACTTAGAGAAGACATCAAATTCATGATGGAAGATATAAACATTTATGAAGTAAAGAAGTTTCTCGGCTAAAAAAAAATAAAATTATATATATAATATATATATATATATATATATATATATATATATATTTATATATATTTATTTTTTTTATTTTTTCAAATGCTCAACATAGCCACCCTTTGCTTAAGTCTGCAAAGCCTGGGCCTTTTCTAAAGCAGTTTTTTGTTGAAGTCTCTGGAAATGGTTTTCACCTTACATTTGTTCCTTGTCTGGGTCGAGTAAAGCCAAAAGTGGAAACGGGGGTTCAAAACAAAGGGTAAACGCTATTTTTAACAAACTAAAATCAAAAGCAAGTTTGGAGTTATTTTGAGATAATATTTTGTTTACTACATTCCTTGTGTCATTCATAGTTTTGATGCCTTCAAGTGAGAATCTACAATGAAAACAATCATGGAAATAAAGTAGAAACATAAATGTAAAAATTGGGTCCAAACGTTTGACTGGAAGTGTATGAAAGTGTTTTGTGACAATTTCTTTGCAATAATGTGGAGACTTTTGTTATTTTTATGTAACAAGGCTGTAGATAGTAGAATAAATAACTTCTATGGTCATATCCTAGTGCTATTTATTTGTTGCAGCTCATGTCTTTTAATGATACAGTATATTTAAAAACTGGATTACTGGGATCCTGCTTTGTTTCATAAAGTAATTTCAGTATTATCATTTATCACACAGCAATATACCATGCTTCAAAATGTGTTATCATAGCAAGCCTGTGTATCTGACTTATGTTTACTGCCAGGTTGCCATGTTTTTTGGGGTTTTTTTTGTACTACTCAAGGGCCTTTTAAAAAACCTTACTGGTTGATAATTTATCTTGAAATATGAAATGAAAAATTAAATAAATGTATTTGTCACTTTGGGACATTTATATATATATGTATATATATTTATATACATAATATTTAGTTTTTTTTATACCATAATTTTCTGTCCTGCGTGAGAAATATTTTGAAACCAGTTAGTTCTAAGTTGTACTTTTAATTTTAATCTGTGGCAAATGTATTTAAATGCACCTTACCTCAAGACATAATTTGAATTTTCAAATTGCACCATGGGCTATTCTTCAGATGTACTAGATTTTAGATTTGATTTTTAAAAATTTACTAGTAATATCAAAATATGGGTAGCATTTTTCTCAAATATGATTATCTTTCTACTCTGCTCAATGTGTATTACATTTATAATCAAATTAATTAAATCATGTTATGAATTCCAGTTATTTTAACCAGCGCAGAGCTCATAGTTGCTCTCACAGTTTGATTAACAGCTGTTTGCCCCTGTCAGGTGGAGGTGCTGTCTCTATGTAAGAAGAGCAGCTGGTCTGAGAGGAAGGTCCAGTTTTGGTTCAGGAGGAGGAGGAACCAGGACCGGCCCGGACTGCGCAAGAGGTTCTCTGAGGCTAGGTAAGCCTGAGGCAAGAGGGCAGCAAGATGAATTCTCATGCTATTTGTGAGTTCACAAAGCAGAGGGAAGCACTTACTTTGTACATTTGTGGATGAGTAAGATGCCTGTGCTTTTCTCTCAACTGAATGTAACAAAATTGATTTTTCAGTTTGTTCCACTCTTCTGCCGCTTTAACCAGCTTGGAGTATTAGTTTGAATGTCCCGATAGGCCTGGATCACTTTCAGTGAGAGCCATCCCAGACTGATGTTTAGAACTCAATCCAGAGACAATACATATAAATCTGGTATGAGCCGGGTTAGGCGTTCACATTGTACTACATCATTTCATACAAAACCAACTCATAGATTGTGAGATACTAATTGTACAAGATAACCTCGTTTATTTTCTTTCATATTCTGTAAAGTGATATCATGTTCCTTCATGGACAAGAGCCTGCTTCCAATATATCACTGATATTTTCATATGAGGAAAAAAACTCAAATGTTGCACTTGGTCATTCATCAATGACTAGGCGCTTGAACTTAAACATAAACATTTGCAAATGAACAATAGGCCTATAGACCTATGGACTGACAGTCACCTAAACCCAGACGTGTTGTTTTCTGATTCTAGAATTATATAAAATAAGTTACTGACATACAGACATTGAAGACATTACAGATCATTAGAAAACTGCCAGGTTACCTCATTCTCAGCAGCATGACTAGTGACAAAGAAAGCACCAAATATACTGCTACATGCATATTAGAAATAGTTACCAGACATTGTATAGATTACTACAAGATTTCCTTTCTTTTTGGGAATTTGAAAACTGCCCTAATTACAGGTGCACTGTTGATATTTTCTGTGGAGGATCTGTCACCTGCTTGTTTCTGCTTCATCTGTCTCCACTGAGACAAGCAAGTAATGCCACAGGGCCATTTTTTCTATTTGCAATGAAAACAACTGTAATTGAATAAATGCAAAATATGTATTACTAATTTCAGTCAAGTAAGCAGGTGGTAATCATCTCTGTAGAAACTTTACATAGTGGTGCTTTAAGTTCTATAAAATATGCAATTTTTTAAAGTAATTGTACTATAGTACTATCATTTTGTTGAATAAAGAGTTGTTAAGTGTGACGTCACTTCTAGGTCCAAGGCACGACAGCAGATTGAAAACAGTGAACATTTTACAATAATTAACTTTTACAATTTATGTTAAAAGACAAAAAGTGTATGAGATTGAGGTAAGGAGCTAGGCTAAACTAAGCAGTGACAGCTAGTTATAGATATACTGATATACTGATAATCACACAGGTGGTTTATTACTAAATTATTTAAACATTTGATACAATTTATGGTTAAACAGTTGTTTTTGAAAGTTAAATGCCTCTTGTTGGATAAAAGGCACGGCTAGAGATCAGCTGTGAAATGGCTGGTTGGACCCAGAAGTGGCATCATCACTCAGCATTCCCATAGATCAAATATAGGATTAAATATTACCTATATATGCATGATGACAGTATGTTTTATCTGTTACAGCTGGAGATGTGCTTTTTATTTCTGTGCTTTTGTTGGAGGTGTGCTCGCTCTCTATGATGTAAGTTCAACTATGGCTGTTCACTTTCGGCCTCTCAGTTTTTTTACTCTTGTTGCTAGTTGATATATGGGCCATTATATATCAGATTACTTCCTATTCTCACCACTTTGAATCATTTTTTGTCTTTTCAGAAACCCTGGGTGTATGACCTGAGGAAGGTGTGGGCTGGCTTTCCCAAACAGGTCTGTAGTCTGTGTCTCTGCGCTGTGTCCCTGTGATAACATGAGCTGACGTCCTATTGTGTCTCTCCAGTCCCTGCTGCCCTCACAGTACTGGTATTATTACTGTGAGATGGGATTTTACTTCTCCCTGCTGCTCAGCCTCACCTTTGACGTTAAAAGAAAAGTAAGTCAACTCCCACAAGAGGCATATACATAAAGGTTTGAGCTTTTATCCGTGTATTGATTTATCATTATGTAGAGTACAAGAATATATGATATGTATTGGTAGTAGTATTGTCACAATACAAAAATTTCAAACTCACTACTAAGAAATAGACTTGATACTCAATACTGATTCTGATACCATGACTATAATAAAAACACAGTAGTGCAGTTGGTAGAGTGTTTGTTCACTGATCCAAAGGTTGGAAGTTCAAATACCACACTCGAAAACATCAATGGTTGAGCGGTCAGATTCACCCACCCCACAGGTTGGCGGTGTGATTCTAGCTCCCACAGATGAATGCTGTTGTTGTGTCCTTGGGCAAGACACTTAACCCACCTTGTCCCCAATGTCTGCATACACTGGTCTATGAATGGGTGTGTTAATGGGTGAATGGTTCCTTGATGTAAAGTGCTATGAAGGTAGAGAAATGGGACCATTTTATTTAAACACTAAGAATGCCATCATAGTACTTAATTTTTATATACAGTATCTTATCTATATATACCTCAGTCGTCCAGGTAGGCTATGCAGTGGTCCATGGGCGTTTACTAGTCTGTGTGGTCTTATACTTGTTCTGATACAACTCCAAAGCTGCTGAGTGTATTGTAATGTCTATTTTAATGTGTCTGTGTTTGTTGTGCTGTGTTGTTGCTGTATATGTCAAACAAGCTTTGTGTGCATGAAAATGAATTTAATAAAAGCCTAAAGTTTTAAATTATTCAGGAAGTGAACGCTCCACTTGAAAGCTTTAATTTACAGAGCTTAAAATCCTTATTATTCACTTGATCATTGTTATGCTTTTCCTGTAGGACTTTAATGAGCAGGTGATCCACCACATAGCCACGCTGACCCTCCTGAGCTTCTCCTGGATCTCCAACTACATCCGCATTGGGACTCTGGTGATGGCTGTGCACGACTCGGCCGATATTCTGCTGGAGGTGAGTGTTAGCACAGAGAGGTGAGGCTGGTCAAGTTACACACAGGTAACGTATGCAAATCTGAGCTGGAGGGATCATAACTCTGATATACCCTGACATGCAGCTGGGTTTAGACTATTATACTGACTTGATAGAATACTTAGAAAGGGAGCTCTGATATCTGAGAAAAAGATTTTTGGGGATGTACTTTTTAGTATATTACAAAGGTTTTGGCAGCCATTTTTATGTGACGACACCAAATGTTGTACCTACAAGAGGCTTTATTTATCGATCTCACAGCGCTTGAGGTGACACAGTTCTCTCATGTGTCAACACTGCAGACTGCACTCTTTTTTTCTTTTTTACTCCTGCTTATACTGATACAAGCAAGTGGTAGACCCCCCATGAGAAAAGTTACATAATACATCTTGCAACTTTTGGCACAAAGAATCAACCTTTAGTAGAAATTTGAGAATTGTTATATTTTTTTCAACTCTCTTAAGTCCTTTCTTTTTTTCAGTTTGCAAAAGTGGTCAACTACGCCAATAGGAACAAGGCGGCTAATGTCATATTTGTGGTGTTTACAGCTCTGTTTACGCTAAGTCGACTTGTCATTTTTCCATTTTGGTAAGTCTAACAGTTATGAAAAATACTTAACACTGGTGAATGTTTGACACAGTTTCTAAATGAGCTTTCTGTCCCCCAGGCTGATCCACTGCACCTGGGTGTACCCTTTGGAGCTGTACCCTCCCTTCTTCGGGTACTACTTCTTTAACTTCATGTTAGTGGTGCTGCAGGGGCTGCACATATACTGGGCTGTGCTCATCTATCGCATGCTCTACAAGGCACTGTTCAGCACGGTGAGACTATTACACCTATTGTAATGGCACTGTTTACTCAATCACAAAAGGTATGATATAGAGCCATTAAAGGTGCACTGTGTAACTTTTTTATCTACATAGAGATGTTATAGCTTGGCCTGGAATAGCAATAAACATATGTGTCATGCATTTATTCAATTACAAGTATTTTTTTTCTCAAACACACACAGATCTGACTTGTAACTCAGCCTGGTGACAGCACCTGCTTTTCTCCAAGATGATAGATAAGTTCAGACAAAGCTATACCATCTCCATAGAGACAAGCAAGTAGTAGAGCCTCCACGAGAAAAGTTACAGTGCATCTTTAAATACTTATTGTTTTCTAGGTTGATTTTGATTCTTGTTCAGAGCTTAAACACAACATTTATGCACTAACTAACTACTCACTTCTGTAAAAATCCAGAGTGGTCAGAGAGACATTTGTCTGATTGTATTGTGTTTGTGTTTTGTAGTTGGAAGGGGATGACAGAAGCGATGCTGAGGAGGAGGATGGCAGCGACCCATCCAAAGAGATAAATCACAAACCCAGGCACATAAACGGCTCCGGGCCCCGGGGCCGAGCCACTGGACACTGATCCCACATGGACCACTGCACACATTCTTTATATAAGAACTGCCATATCATGTAAAATAACCACTACATATGAAGGAAGCTGACAGCAAACTATTTTAAAGGTGCCATATGACGCTACCTGATGTTTAACCATGTTTGAAGGTTGTAACCTCAAAATCAACAGTTCTGTTTGCTTATATTTGAGTAATCCTGCAAATTAAGGTGTGCATTTTGACATCTACTTGGCCACCAGTTTACCACACTACCTCTCCCCTCCTCCTGGACTTTCTCCAATCATTCCAACAAACTACCTTTGCTACTAATCATTTCCTGTTAGTATTTTTAGCATTCTTTTAACTGCCTCATAATCCCCACTGTTGTCAGCAGAGGACACAGGGACAATACCAGGCTTTTTATGCACTGCAATCATGACTGAATACACTTAGCATTTCAAGTTGTAAAATGTGAAGTACATGGATGTCTCCACAAGTATTGAAGAGAGTTTAAAATGGGAGATTTAGAGTGATAAATAAATAGATTTTGTCTTACAGGTGTCAGCTGTTGTAGTGGTTGCTTTTGTATGGTATTTGCCTATGCAAAGTAGGCACTGTATGGAGAGATGCAGGTGTTACTGGAGCCCACCATGAACACTGTGGAAACAATATGACATCGGGAAGCCTCAATTTACATGGACAGAAAATCATTCAGATGTTGTTATTTACATGTAATTTAAGTAATCTGATAACCCCAGAAATCAGATGACAGTAACATTTTTGGGGAGTACGTAAACATAAAAAAGGATTGTTGTGACTTTAACCACATTTTAAATAGAGCTGCTAAACTTGGCAGTACCTGGAAAACTAAAGGGCAAAGAAGAGGCAGGTCTGTTAGTATAAGAAGTAACTAACTTCTTAGACCAAAATGAGAATGGATAGGCAAAGGTGTAACTGTACATTTTGCCTTGATTTCATCTGACTCAGCACTTCTGGCTCGCTTGGGGCTAAAAGATTCAAGTCTGATGCATATATTATATTTTCAGAATCAAAAGACGTTCAGATCCAGAAAGAAACCATTCTTTTTATTAACCTAGTGGATTCCAGGTAGTAATTTTAACATACACATGTTTTATGAGTACACAGAGCCGTTTCTAACTGCAAAGGGCCCATCCAGATATCCCTTTTCTATTTAATTGAGAAAAATGACTTGAGGACTGTTAGACTGGTCTTATTTGTGTTTGCTGGTGGGTGGGTTGAGGGGATGAACATATGTAATTGTGGAATGAGGAGGTGTGTAGTACTCAGTTACACTTACATTTACTCAGATAAATTTTTTTTTTACTTTTAAAGTACTTTTAAGAGTACTTTTCTAGCAGCATACTCCTTATTGAAGAAACTGTACTCTTAAAAAAAAATTTGGTTACTCTTTTCCCACTGTGAGTAGCTGTAAGGCTACAAGTGACAAAAGATTTACATTGACAGTGTGTATTTTTGCACTGCTCCTTCAGATATGATTTAGATTTTCAAATTTGTCTGTCTATAATTTAAAAATCCATGTGTGTACATTATTTAATGTTTCGTCAAGAGTTGCTAGTCTGGATAGTAGTCCATCCATCCATTTTCTTCCACTTATCCGGGGCCAGCTCCTGGGGGCAGCAGCCTAAGCAGGGACTTCCAGACTTCCTTCACTCCAGACACATCCTCCAGCTCCTCCGGGGGGACCCCGAGGCGTTCCCAGGTCAGCCGAGAGACATAGTCCCTCCAGCATGTCCTGGGTCTTCCCCGGGGCCTCCTCCCGGTGAGACATGCCCGGAACACCTCCCGAGGGAGGCGCCCAGGAGGCATCCGAGATAGATGCCCAAGCCACCTCGACTGGCTCCTCTCGACGTGGAGGAGCAGCGGCTCTACTCCGAGCTTCTCCCGTGTGACTGAGCTCCTCACCCTATCTCTAAGGGAGCGCCCAGCCACCATGCGAAGGAAACTCATTTCGAGCCCTTGTATCTGCGATCTTGTCCTTTCGGTCATTACCCAGAGCTCATGACCATAGGTGAGAGTAGGAACAAAGACTGACCGGTAAATTAAGAGTTTCACCTTTCGACTCAGCTCCCTCTTCACCACAATGGTCCGATACAGCGACCGCATCACTGCAGATACTGCCTGTCAATCTCACGCTCTGTCCTCCCCTCACTCGTGAACACGAGTGGATAGTAGTCATTTTTTCAAATACTTTTTTACTTTTACTTGAATAATTTCTTGGACCGCTACTTTGCACTTTTACTTGAGTAACATTATTTTGAAGTAACCTTACTCTTACTTGAATACAATTCTTGTCTCTCAACCCACGTTTGTTGATTAAGGGCACCCAACCAGCACATTGCATAGGGCCCCCACCTCACTAGAAACGGCCCTGCTTGTTCCTGTAAATGCTGAGCTGTATATTATTTGTATATGTAGGGCCTCATAGCATAATTACTATTTTTTAGCCAAGGTTCTCATCCTGCTCTCCAGACTCTGCTGCATCTGTAGCTAAATCATCTTCATGACTTAGGTGGATTAATAGATAATGCTGTTAAAACACCATACCACAGGTTTATAGTGGATAAAAATTGGATTTCATGTTTAGTTCGACTTTAAACAAAAATTACTCAGGCAATTATGCTATGAGGCTAATGATAGGTTGCATTGTGTTGCAGGATCAGTCACAGTGCCTGGACACGCAGTCACACTGGGTCACAGACAGGACAGTGTGGAGGGTCCGGGTCCCATTGGCACAGGTACACTCAGAGCCTGTGTGTTTAGAGCAGAGCAGCACACACACTCCTGCTCCACTGCTCCGCTCTCCAGCGAGTATAAGGAACGGCTCCGGCATTTACCCTGCAGGAGAGACACACAGACAGGGCTGGGGTCAGGTAATATGTGGAGAAGTATCTTAATATAATAGTGGGAAACGTGTTACAGATAACACACTGGCAGCGGTTACATGCACACTCATAATCAGATTTTGTAGTTAATAAGTCATAAAAATAATCCTAAATGTCCTGAAAACAGATAATAATCAGATTTTGATTGACTGTGGGTGATAACTGATAGTGCAGGGCACACAAAGGGATCCAGTAGAAGCCAGTAATCATGTACTGATTGATTAAAGGAATTATGCATGAAATTACTTAAATAATCACACAAATCACAGTTTAGCCTAATTAGAGACAATATATCAAAGACAAGGTCCATCCATTGTCCTGATAAATGATCAAACCACAACACACAAGACAAGCCAAGTTGGCCACTTGATCCTGCTCCATTTCTGAGATGTTGAAAATGAAGTGAATATTGGCTGGCCACATGTTTATTTCAAGTGTCTGAACTACTCCAAAAGACAAGGACACACATTTGGAGCTTGGGTCAACTTCACACAGGTGCTGCTCATAGTTCAGCCAGTTAGCAGATTTTTATTGTACAAGAGCATGTGTAGAGCAGGGCGTTTGCTGCCTTGGCTCACCTCACAGTAGTGCAGCTCCACCTGCTGCTCTGACTCACAGTCATCCACTTTGATGTACTTCAGGGTCCCTTTGGTCTTCTGGCACTCTGGCTCCACACCTCCAAACACACACAGAAGACAAACACATTTCACACACGCACACACACATACACACACACATATATAAATATAGATATAGATATAGATAGATATATAAGTAGATGTAATAGTTCTACCCACCTCTGACTCTTAAGGTTCAGGTGCAGTTTAAATATAAGAATTAGAATTACTCACATGTCTCACAGCAGCTGTCTCCGAGATGACTGACCGTACCCTGAGGAATAAATCATTTACTTTATTTAGACAAACTAAAGGACATCCTGCAGTTCAAATTACTTGAATTCATATTCTTAACCTTGATTTGTGCAGGAATACTACAAAGAAAAAAAATAAATAATACATTTTATTTATAGGTGCCTTTCAGTGCAGTAAAGGTCACCATTTTATAACATTAAAGTAAGGTGATCAGTTTATGTTATACTTTGCTATGGTTTTGATTTAGTTTTGATTTAATTTTTAGGCCTAATCATTAGCTTTTTCATAATGTTTCTGGCTGGTTCTACTTATCTGTCATGTAACAAATTTGCACTTGGAAATGGGCTGCAAGATTAATCACAATTTCAACAACCGTAATAAGCAAATTGCAATGGCTACAATTTTTGAAGTACCATAATTTGCTCCACAAACAATAAAATATCCTGTTTTACTCTGTATAAAAGCTGCAAACACTGTAGTTTAGATTTGCACAAACATGTTCTTAAATGTGATTGGATTAATTTGTCAGTTCTCCTGGACACATTTAAAATATGAACTTTGAACAGAATCCTGTTATTAAAACAAATCGAATCACAAACAGAAATGTGTGAATACAATAGATCGAGCAGCATTCTACAGTGTTAAATAGTGTAGAAGAGTTGTACCCCATTATCGCGACAGGCCTGTTGGTCAAAAGCAGGACAGCTGGTCACTTTGACCTGAGCCACAAGATCCCCCTGAGGGCTCACGCTGCATGAGTACAAGTTACAGCCCTCCTCCCTGGTGGAGTTCACCTGGAGATAGAGTCATTAAGTGTGTCAATGAGTTTTCACAAATATAGTAACAGCAATACACAGTAGCTCACACATCACAATATATTATAATAACAAAAAGCAAAAATATACATGGTTATAATAAATTCAAAATAAGTAACAAAAATAAGAAGAAATAAGGCATAATATCATAAATGTATAACAAGTATAACTTGTAATAAGTAAAATTTATATACAATTATGTCAATGTATAAAAAGTTTTGAAAAAAAGTAAAAAAAAAACAAAAAAAGAAACATTTAACATTTTGAACATCAAATTATCTTATTTTGGTTTGAGACTTCCAAAACTAGCCTTCTGATTTCACTTACCTGTTTGGGCGGCCTTCTTAACATAAGTCTGTACCACTGATCAACACTCACCCTCATAATGCAGATCTATATTTGAGTCTAACCAGTGTATGTGTGTGTGTGTGTGTGTTGTACAGATATATCCAGATAACTCAGCCAAGAATGAGGACAGAAAGTCCGTCATTGACTTCCTTATAGAAATGTTGTCCATGACGAGGAGCAAAGAGTGACTCCCTGTCAGGCCCTCCAGTATAGTTATATTGCAATGTTTCATCTGCAGAACACTACACTCCAGGAATAGTAAGTCTACAGATCTCAACCATAAAAAGTTGTACAAACTAAAATAGTGTGTGAGTACTGATTTATGTCTGTGTGTTTTTTTGTTTTTTTTTTCAGTTTGACGATGTCAAAGGAACTGACGCTGATCTGTCCTGGTGTGGATTCCTCTTTAAGTTCCCCAGAAGATATAGTGTTTGTCTCCTGCAGTAATTTAAAAGTTACTGTACAATCAGATGCTCTAGAATCCTTTCCTTCCTTTTAGGACCTTCATGTTCTACTTGCTCATCCCTTTCTGGACCTACATGTTCTCCTAGCTCGGGTGGACATTACAGTGGACATGACATTACAGTTACAGTATGCCCCAGCAGCTGGAATGAGCGTGAGCCTGAAACAATCACCCTCCAAATAGAATAATTGTGAGTAATGAGTATTAAGACTAAAGTGAATAAGCAATTCCTTCATGTTGGCCACGTTATGCATTTTAGACCATAGAGAGAAGTATCTGATTAGATTTGTACTATTTGATTTTTAACAATATCACAATCCTGATGGCTGTATATGATTAGTGCATATGATCAGTGCATTGCCACAGTACATATTTACTGGCAGACTGCTGAGAGTTCCATCAGGTCTCTGTATAAAACAGGTGGTGCCCACACAGTGACCACAGCACGCCCCCTCCTCCTTCTGTAGACTGTAGCCCTGCACAGAAGCATGAGGACAGAGGAGGACATTAGAGCCATTATAAGTAATACTGTTAGTCATTTACCCACTTTCCAAGTGACATGTGTAAAGTATTACTCAGAGGTTATAATGGGACATATTATGCAAAATAAACTTTTGTGAGCTTTAAACCATGTTATCACAGAGATCCGTTATCATAAGCTTAGTGATAGTTGTATTTCCATTGATTCATGTATGTTTGAGTTATCCTGTATTGTCATGCATTGAGATTGAGTGCTCTGAAAGTGTCTGTTTACACCCACCCCGTAGGATTCAGAAATGTCATGCTACCAATTTTCAACCATAAAAACACAATCAAAAATCTCTTGCTTTCCACAATGCCATGATGAAGAGGTGGGGTATATAAAAGTTTGAATGGCAGATTAGACTACTCCTTTTCTTTAAAGTTTGACAAATAAAAATAAATAATAAAAAACATTCTGGATGTATATCTTCTTAAATTAAAACAGTCATATTAATAATCCATAGAGTAGTTAAACACAGGAATTACCATGGGACACTCGGGGCAGGTGGTTTTCTTACAGGACAGTTTGAACTTCCTCACTGCCCCCTGCTCCACCTGACATTCACAATGAGTGCACAGGTCCACCATCAGTCGCTCTCCAGGCTGCACAATAACAACACAATCACACAGTCATAACAATGCAGGCTTTATGAACCATTTACCAACGCAATCTAAGTCAATGTTTAACTCACTCCAATCAGTGTGCTGTTGAAGAGACAGGCCTCCACAGGAACTGCAAAGAAAACACATCTTATTTATGAACTTTTTTATACCGCTCATAAAAACAGTGTGGTGTTAAATCAAAGGAGACAGAGACCCCCACTGGACAAAAGCAACAACTACACAGGAGACAGTAAACAATATTAAACCTTGTGAGAATCAATTTACATGACAGCCAGTTTGATACATTCAAAACCACATATAGTGATAGTAACTATCTTTCTTGGGATGGAAAGTCAGTTTCATAATTCTATGGAAATAGAAAGTTAAAATCATCCTTCAGAATATAAGTCAGAACAAATAATTCTCCACACCGAAAAAGAGTCAGGTTTGTGGAGATGCAAGCTCGCTCATAGAAAGGATGCATGTTTTTCTATATTTTTCTGTGCAACAAAGAACTGAAATGGAAAAAAACAGAATTTTGTTTCTGTGCTGTCCTGTGCCTTTATTTTCCAAAGGTCAGTGGTAGAAAATAATTATGAATATTGCCTTGAGCTGCAATAGCTAATCACATTTTGTAATAATTGAATTGTGCGTTAGCATGCTAGTTGTTGTTAGCTTCATTGTGGCAAAAATCTGCTCTGAATGCATAAGTGAGGAATAACTTTGGACCTCTGCAAACTGTTTAAAATGAACTAGTTCTATTTTTTATGCTTTTAAGACAGTAAAACCAGGTACATAGTTTAAGACTAATAAAAAATACACACCAACAACTTCGTTCTGTGTTAGTGTTTAGAAAAAATGCCATCACGTTTTCTAAGTTGTAAGCACTGTATAATATTGTGTATGCTTTGATGGTTACCACAGTGACAAAAGGGGCAGCATCCTTCCTTGGCACAGTGCAGCTCGGTCCCCAGGGGGCAGTTGGGAGTGTCCACAGCAGAGCAGCTCACATTCTTCTCAGTGACAAAGACCTGCTCATGGACCTTCACACACTCCTGTAGGACACACTGGTCCAGAGGAGAAGACCACACCTCACCCACCTGCTCCAAACAGAAAGCCCCGGTCAGCTCATATTCAATACAGTGAACGCATGAATAAGAAAAGTGAAACTGTATAGTACATACATGCCGTATTTTAGTTCCTATCAGCGTGTCTCCTCTCATCTCTCCTCGTGAGATCACACAGCTCGATGTTACACACTTTCCACAGCACTCATTGTCTGATGGAGCATATGTGGAGCCCTGGAAAGGGAGCACACTGATTCTAAAACATCACTTCATTGTGTGTTGTGGTGTTCTATCCTCTACATCAGTGAGTTAAAACAATGTAACACATTGTCTCACATTTAGTTTTAATAATGGGCTCAAATGTCCAAATAAGTAATAGAATATACGGGAAAAGTTTTTCACATGCGTCTTAGTGCAAACTAAGGTCGTATGGACAAAAGAGTCTGTTGCAGCCAATCAGATTCTTTCTTTCAACAATTCCAGTCAGTTCTGGTTTCTGAACTAATAAGACAGAAAAATCTTCTTCTTCAGAAGAAGATTTTTTTTTGCATGTCCTACTTAGGGATGCATACTCGTATCGGATATCAACTTTCAAGATATCGGTTCAGCCAATATCCCATTTTAGTTTATTTAGTAATAAACTGGTATAATAAGACAATTTACTGACCAATGTTGGCCCAAAATGTCTCTCAATATTAAACTTGTATTTTTACAATGATGTTCTGTAGTTACAAAACATATTTTTTTATACTATACTGGCGCAATTACAATCTGTCATATTGTTGCAGTATGATAACATAGGGAACATTTCATTACCTAGACCCATTTTATTGCTGTAGTATGATCTATATTTAGTACATTGTCGGGTCAGTCACTCACCAGAGGGCAGGCGGTGTCACAGGTGCGCGGACTACAGTGGGGCACGTACAGGGAGCTGTGGGCGTCCAGCTGCTGGGTGCACACACACTTGGTACAGCCGTCCTCCCACTCACTACCCACTGGGTGAGCCTGAGCACCCACTACGCACACCTAAGAAGAGGCACGCATATCACTGCACCAGATAGAGCTGCAGTTTAGAAGATTTTTGTTTGTATTACTCTGGGATGAATATTAAGTTGAAAGATGGAGGAGCATTAATATCAAGTACTAAAAATGTATAATATGTTTGGGTGAAGAGTAAGTGTTTTTTCCATCTTTCAAAAAATCACTTCAACTTTAAAGGTGCACTATATAACTTTTCTGGTGGAAGGTCTGGCAGATATATTACTGCTTTGCCTGGATTGTTACACTGCATGGCATTGGATTTAATCATCTCCACTGAGGTGACCCAACCAGGCCAAGTTACAGGTCAGCTCTGTGGAGAGGTGACCCTGCTCACAATATCCATGTTTTTCAAGGTATTTTTGAGCAATAAAACACTTGAAATAAAATAAATGCTTGAAAGGTATGTTTTAATGCCATATCGAGGAACATTGACAAAGCTAAAACTTACAAGGTCAAATATGTTGCACAGAACATCAACTTTAAGAAGTTGCCTGTTTATTTTGCCACTCAACCAATCAAGTCATTAATATAAATGCACCTTCTATCTTCCTGTTTTGTTTGTATACAACACTCATCCGCCCCACTCATCCGCCCCATTTCCACCACAACCTCTTCAGCTTCTTTCACCTCTTCATCACCATCTAAATGCTCTGTGTACCCACCTTGTCTGGCTCACAGCTGGTGACAGTGCAGCCACAGTCATTGGTGGAAGTAGACGTGACAAAGCCAACAGGACAGGCACGTGTGGAGTTCTGACACTTACATGCGCATTCGAACGCATCGCAGCATGTGGTTTTTTTGACTGACAGCTGCCGGTGTGGTGGACAAGTGGGAGGGGGCTTGAGATCACACTGCTCCTTTTTACAGACTAAGAAAAAGCTAAATTAAAAATACTGTTTCAAAAGCCTACACAGCATGTTATAAGTTACAATAAGATATTTAGAATGAAACAGAAGACCACATAGACTAATATACATCCATGGAACGCTATGGAACCTACCTAAAGGACTGAGGGATTACACAGATATAAGATCACATCATAAAATAAAAGAGTACTATAATTTAAAGTTAAAATTATATTCCATTGTCTACCTATTGAGTGTTTTTTACTATCATTGTGGTATTGAAATCGTAACTGAGTGTCAAGTCTATTTCTTAGTATCAAAATTTAGTTTGAAATTTTTGTATTGTAACAACAACAACAACAACAAAAATTCAATTATGTAGTATTGTTATGGATCCTTCCTGGACTACTGAGGAATTACACAGACTAATTGTAAGGGTGACATTTTTAGAATCTGATCTGTAAATTTATCTTGTTTTAGAAAATGTAGTTTGGGTAACATTCTTCACTCTGCTGTCTCTTATGCATTTTATTAGAATTAAAATATTGAAGCTAGTCTAAAATATGCTAAATACTTTAATTAAAAAGTAAAAGATGAACTGTGTAACGTAACCTTTATGGTACGGAGGTCTGTCATCTGCTTTGCCAAGAATGTTCCACAATATGGCATTAAATCATCTATCATCCAATAAATCAATTATAGATCTTTGATTACTAAAAAAATTGCACTTAAAAACTCTGGAATTTTAGTATGAGCAGCCTGCCTCTCCACAGATCTGAACAGCAAGTTGATCTTTTGGTGACATATGCATGTCTGCATGGAGGCAGTCAAGTTTAATGCCTTACTGTGATATATAAGCAATAGTGTATCCATGTAGACAAGTAGGCGACAGACCCTCCATCAAAAAGTTACATAGTGCATCTTTAATTAAAGGATTAAAATGAATATATTATTCTGAATTCACCAGGCTAGCTGCTTACCACATTCATGTACTGGTTGACATTCTCCTGGGTTTTTCAAAACTAAGGTTTGTCCGTCTTCACAGAGAGGCACTTCAGGCACCGAGCAATTTGTAAGATCACATACTACATAAAAAAATAAAGATATAAATAATATTCAGCAGTAAAAGCAATAGGAAAGTAAGAAATGTCTGTACAGTGCCTTACCACACTCATACTCTGGACAGCACTTGGACTCCCTCTTCTCTCTCAAGACCTCACAAGGGCCACACGCAGGAGCTACAAACAGATAATAATTCAAATCGCAGCCATATGTTTATTAATCCCTGATTTTAAAGAAAAATAGAGTAGTAAAGCAGTGTAAAAATACCCTTGACGTCATTGCAGGGCCGGGCAGTGCAGTTGATGCGCTGCTGGTCTAAACACAAACATATCAGGCAGGGATTCTCCTCTGGGATCCAGGAAAGCATGTACTGAGGAAAAGAGATCTTTTTTTTTTATGTGGCCAAGTAAACACTATACAGTATATAAAAGAAAAATACACTAGAAATATATGTAATGCCCATCTACAAGATATGTTAAATGTTACTATTAGCATGCACATGTCTCAGGTTGCAGATGCAGATGTACACAATTGTAACTATTCTTTTGTAACTACAACCATTTTTGCAATTAAATAATGTATTATTATTAGACTAAATGCGAAAAATAGTTCTGCAAATGAACAGTTTAGATTTTACTGCAAACTGTGGTTCTGCCACAAAGAGTGCAGCAGCATTGCACAAGTTTTCTTATAGATCATATTTCATCAAATTCAGTATTCAACTTGACACGTCAACATTGTGATTTTGAGAGCTACTTAAATGAAAACACATAAACCCAGGTATGTTCAAGATAAGGGGAAGTTTAAATGCAAAGTTTGACCTGCTCTCTATAGCAATTATGGCAACAAGGGACCTCAGCACAGAGACCCATCATCACTGGGTTGTTGGCATAGCCTGTAAAAGAGGACTATCTGAACAGTAGAGTGACTCACTGGATGTGTGTGGCCCTGCTGGTCCACACATTGGTTACAGCTGTCAGGTGGCACACACACACCCTGGTGGAGGACCATGCCCTCTGGACAGTAGCAGCCCTCTGTGGGCGTGTCCACACAGGAGGATGTGTTCCTCTCCTCTTTCAGAGTCTGGATACTGCTGCAGTCCTCTACACAGCCACTCTGACAAGCATGGTATTCCATCGGACTGGGGCACTGGAATGCTGCCACAATCAAACAAGTAATCAAATATGACCCATTGTAATGTAACAAGAATTATATAATATTTGTGGTGAATTTGTAGCATTTGTTCAGGTAATAACTAATGCAGAAGCTACTGATATGATCACTTTTTTTTGTCTAAACAGGCACAGGTTACTAAAAATTTTTGGGAAACAACTGCATATCACTATCCCAGAGAAAAGTTCTGTGTCATTGTGCAATATAACAGCGGCAGAAAGGACCGAGTTCAAATTCAGACAAGCTCACGACATGTTGTATTTTTATATTTGTGTGGAGGAAATGCTTGGCTAAACATTTTCCTATTATGTTTCAGTATAGATTCCTTAATGCACTCTGAGTGGCCTTGCTCCCATTAAAAACACATAGATTCATAATCATTTCACTTGTGACTCCCTGTGCTGTGTAGCAGACTCACGGCAAAGGTGTGGGCCCCTCCAGTGCACACAGGCCCCGTTCTGCCTGCACAGCTGAGCGTAGGCTGACAGCACCTCACACACGTCCGATTGCTCACATGCCTGCTCCTCACAGCGGGACAGGAACAGCTGCACCGGGACCACATGGTGACATGGGGCAAACACCTCAGACCGGAGAGCCTGACAGCCCATGGAGACTCCCAGGGCACACTGGGGCCTCCTCTTAGGCACACATACACCCTCACTCCCCTCTACACCTCCAGAGCTACTCCAGTCCCACATGAAGGCCGAGTGGTCTGAGGTCAGGCTGCCGTCACGCAGATGGAGTTGATTGGCTTGCTCCTCTCCACAAGTCCCTAAAAGAGTGAATAGTGTGAGAGAAAACAGGGGCTCATAGGTTAGGCCTACCTCAAGAGCGATAAAGCAATACTTGATACTTAATATATTGACCCTGAACCTCAATAAAATGTGTTGATAGTAAAGAAATACAAAAAGGAACTTGTCTCCTCAACTATACAACAGTTCCAACACACTGAAGCTCCTCTGTGTTTTTAAGTCCATACACCTTCATCAGAAACCGCACTTAAAATCAAGCATATAGGAAACATAGCTAATTTAATATGACAAATGGAGCTGACAGATCATTTAGAGAAATTATAGGGGCAGTGTGTAGTCTACACTGTTTTATTGAAGGTACAATCAACAAGTGAACTTGGTTTTAACCTGCAACTAGAGGACACAAGCTAACACTGGTTAATGACTGGCTGCAGGTGCTGCGGTGTAGGCTATGTGGAGATGTCTTACCACAAAGTCCATTGGTGGGCCCGGCAGCACTAGAACCAAGCACAGTGATGGTGAACTCGTTGCTGTGAGGTGTAAAGGTCAGAGTGTAGCCATGGTTTGACTTCAGCTGCAGCATGATGCCCCCATAACGCACCAGCTCCAGACCTGCATGTGTCCAGGGGAGAGCTAGCTCCTCACGCCCAATCAGAGCCTGTTCACAAGACAGTAACAACAAATAAAAGGTGATCAAATGCTTGTATTTATAGAATAGTATCCTCAGACATATTGATTAGTTCTACTAAAATAATAACCCAAAAAAGAAACTATATAACGAGAGAAGAGAATGAGATTTCTTTTTTGTAATAATGTTACTCAAAGTGGATAATTTTATGATACGGTCTAAATAAATTGTTTTATTTTATTTGATAGGCCCATTAAGATTTGGAGTTTTGTAATTAAATGCAATGATAACATGATATGATATTAAAAAAACTATATCTTACTACTGCATTTACAACTCTCTTAGAAAAATTAAATGTATTAATAAATTAATAAAGTCATGCTCTATATTAGTACATTTACTCAACATTTTGTTAAAAAAAGATGCATGTGGTTTCAACTGTTTTCATGGTATCATGCAGAAATCATGCAAGAAAGTTACTAATGTACTTTAAGAATAAAAAGGGTTGTAGAAGTTGTTATAGTGACTGTTATGTTTTATGATTATTGTAATACATTTTGTTATAGACTATTCCATTTTAGTGCCCTGTTCAGAGTAGCATTACCGTCATATCATCTTTTAGCGTGATGGTGTGAGGTCCATGGATGACTTCTATGGCCTTCATGCAGACTTGGTTGTACTCAGAGGGATGGCTGCATGGTCCATTGTGCAGTTTCACTTCAGACGATTCACTCAGACTCTTGTTCACAGTCAATAAGGTGTAGGAGCAAAGGCCCTCACTGTCCAACCGGAGAGCCAGGCTATCAAACCTCACTACGTGGTTGGTAGAGCTGCCCATGCACATGCCTACAAACACAGAAAAAGTACTTTTACACCTAGAACTCCACATACTGGTAACTCCAATTAAGTTTGTGGTGATGTAACTTTATGTTGTACTTTGGACAGCAAAACCCAACTAATGTGAGGTCTCATGTACTGCTTCATGTACTAAGACTAAATCAAGACTTTTAAACCCACTTAAACATCCTCCTGATGCTGAGAGGAGATAGAAATATGTCAGGCTGATTGAGATCATTTTGTCTTCCACTTAGTATCTTGGGTCTCTGGTGAGGAAAGGATGGAGCTTGAGATTGACAGGAGAATCATGCAGTGTCTGCAGTGACGCGATCACTGTATCGAACTATTGTGGTAAAAAGAATTGTATTAATTATAGACCACTATACGATCAATAGCTCCTTCTGCTGTTAACTGACTTGACAAATGGGGCAAAAGCTCATGCAAGTCCAACACTGTAACAGCTATTTTTGGTGTTCTTCCAAACCTTTATATATAATTCAGGGTCAAAGTCGAGGGATTACAGGTGTTCGTCATTTTGAAGTAGATTATGAGCAAAGAGTGTAAGATTGTGAATTACATATATTAGACTTACATGGGCATTCCCAGTGGCAGTTGCATTTCTCTTGGACCCTGACTGCGGGCATGTTGTTGGTACAGGCTGGGGGCTCCATGCTGTCACAGCTCACTTTGTGGCTCTGCATGGTGATTGCTCCACTGGGGTGACATAGGAGAGAGTGGCAGCCATCCTCCATCAGCCACGACTCTCCAGGCTACAACAGGGAGGTATGTCATAAGGAATAAGAGAAATCATCTTATACACAATTAAGAAAACTCATGTGTCAGCAGGATTTTAAAGATGCTAAAAGTTCTCATTCTAATATTAAGGACTGTGACTTAAATACAAACCTTTCTCTCTGTTCCATTATCATCTACACAAAATCCTGGTGGACCAGCTAAAACACAAAGACAGCATTAGCTTGAAAATAAGTCACATGAGTCTTAACTTCAGAATATGCACCTCTGCACATCCTCTCTATGTAGCCATGATCCAGGGTCAGCAGCAACCGCAGCTGGTCCATGCTGCTCAAGTGGAGGCTGTTGTCCTGGTTACCATGGCGACCCAGAACACTGAGCTCCGCCCTATCATATCCTGACCCCACGCCAATAGGAAACACAGACACGCCTAAAACGAAGAGAAATCACAAGTCAATAAAAACAGAATAGAGTCATGTGAGGGGAGTTCCAGATAGTAGTCACCGGCTGCGAGAGCTTCGTTAGCTGCTTCTTTCACATCATCAGTGGATTTGTCCTGGATCACCATGACAATGATTTTAGCCACCCCAGCTCTGCCTCCACTGGCCGGGGAAAGGGACGTTTGTATAGCAAACCGCAAAGCTGCACCTGAAGACAAGAGTCAAAAGTGTCAACTTTGCATGGAAAGATTTATTTCAGAATTTTGTATAAATTTTTACTATTACATTAGTATTAGTATTATATTACATTGCAAAAGATTACAGGTGTCACAGTAAGACAAGAGTTTAGAAAGTAGTTGTAAGAATTTTATCACATTTGATTGTAAATTAATCTACACTACAAATTAGGTGTGAGAAATATATTGAAAATGTACATTACATCACGTTATTTTGGAGATATGCAAAATTAGAATATCGAGTATGACCTGACCTCAAAAAGGTTCTGAATGTTTTGAAGTATGGTTTTAGTTTTCTATTTCCATCGAAGCATGCAGGTTAAGTACCACAAGACAGAAAAATCAAACAAATTATGTACTTTAGTTCAGGGATGTCTAAACTACTATGGCCCTGGGGCCAAATGTGGCCATTAGAGCAATATTTGTGGGCCCTCAAGCTTCTTGCTCAACTGGCCCAAATTATCATAAGCAGAACTTGTTACTGCAAATTGATGCAAATTTAAGCAATTCCACTTCTATAAACTCAATAACATCAAATTGTTTTGTGACATAGACCTAAAATGAATGTGCCAAGCCTTATTAAAGGTACACTGAATTGGCTCTGTCATAGCTAAATACACCAATCTGAACTACTCACTGTAATAACCAACTGTCTGCGGTGCAATGCTTCAAATACATTTTGATGTGGCCCACAATAAAAAAAGGTTTTGCTTTAGCTGATTAAATAAATATAGCCATGAATTATCTGTGACTCCCATTATCAGGGGAGTAGACAGGGGGACAAATGGGCCCCAGGGTTTTAGGGCACCAAAACTGAACCTTCATCCTATTAATCTGGAGGGGGGCCCATGTGAGGCTCCTTGCCCCAGGCCCCCAAATGTTGATGGGCATGCCCCTATTTAACGTAATTGTTCAGTAGATGGCTGATAATGTCATTCATGGTCATTACCGAGTTGTGGAGGTGTGGGAGTCCTGCTGGGAACTCTGTCCAGCAAGTTTAATAGCTGTTCTCTGCGCTGCTCCTGCTTCCAGGTTATTTCTGCTGTGTTTCTCTCACCATACTGTAATACACCGATCTGAGTGTCCTTTTGTCCTGTCAAAAGCATTGTAAAGCATTTAATATTTAAGTCCATTTATTGTCTTAATGTAGTACCTCAAACTAATACAAAGAATCATGTGCATACAATGTATATAAATGCACAGAACCCTTAAAAGCATTAGAGTTTGCTAAAGGTCATTTTTTTCTGGTGGTGAGTCCATTATCTGTCTCTTCATAGAGCATTTTCAGAAATGCTCTACAGTATAGAATTAAATTGATCTAACTCCGAGAGACAAACTAAGTAAAAAAGGAGGGTTTTTTTTGTAATATTTGCTATGGAATACATGTAATATAATAAAGTGGAGCTAGACTAGTTTAATGCCATACTGTGGAACATTTCTGGGAATGCACTATATAGAGATGGAAAATGTGCTTGGACCTTCCACTAGAAAAACTGTACACGGGGCACCTTTAAGTTTTAAAGGGCCCATGTTACTCTTTTTTCTGATTTGCTATAATGAAGTTGTGTTTTGTTTCATTTGCATGTTTAACTCAATAATCCTGTATATTAAGGCTGAGTTCTTCACTCACACAGAAAACACTCTGTTGCACCTTGAGGTGTCATTGGTAATACAGGAAGTGCTCCACTGTGTTTTTAAATTCCATACACCTTCACCTGAATCATTTGGATAATGTCAGATCTGGAATTGCCAATCTCCCCCTTCATGACCGCTTCATGACAACACAAGGTGGCACAGACCATTTTTTGTGTGTGTGTGTGTAATATAGGATCTTTAACATATTTCTAGTGCTTTGCAATTTGTTGCCTTTTAGAGTTTGGATCTGATTATGTGCATTGGTCAAAATCTATACTGAATTTGTGCAATACTAATATTAAGAAATGCTATTTAAAGACATATTAATTTAAAAGATAGATAAGACCATACCTATTTTAGCATTTGTGATGAAGCTTTTGACAAAGGTTTTCATTTCTGTGAACTGCTCCCCCGCCTTTAATAAGAACAGAACGTCCATGGGCTTGTCACATGGCACTAAACAACGACAGAGTACAAGCACACATAAGTACACTGTCAACAGCCAGCCTGATGTCTGCAGTAAGTACAGTACTGCACCTGAGGGGGGAAGTGTGGCCAGAGTGGGCACAACCAGAGGTGGGAGGGTTGGGGAGCGTGGCACTACTGTAGTCTTAGTAATATTGATCACACGGTGGACTATGCTTGTGAGGTTGAAATAGTCTTCTACCATGAGAGGTCGCTGGGGAGTGCTGAGAGGGAACAAGTCCATTTCCTTGACTTTTGGCCCAACTCCAATAGGGTAGATATGCGTTTGTGTACTGGTGACTGGGCGAGTTATAATGTCTGTTGGTGGATTTTCTGTGATGAGAAACACCAATTGAGGTGGAGATGTGGGTCCAGTGGGAGGAGCTGTTGCCACCTGCTGGAAAACTGTTGTAACTGCAGCCCCTGTGTTGGTTTTATTCCCTCCTCTCCAGCGAATCTCCCTTAACCTCTGTAAAAGTCTTTCTCTATGCCATCTGATCTCCCAATGGCTAATTTCGATAGTTACCGTCACTGAATATTGGATTATGGTAATGCGGATGACCTCTTCCTCTTCCTGTGCGAGCTGAGTGATCACTTCTTCAAGAAATGTTAGAGATTTGTTGAAGTTTGCCTCACCAACCGTATCTGAGCCCTCTATGACGAATGTGAGATCTTTGGTTGGGATGAGAAGAGCAAGGGGAGTGGTGATTGGAGAGGTGGTAGCTGGCTTGCTGGAACTTGCGGGGAGATTTGGAGTAGTAGTAGTGGTAGTAGTAGTAGTAGTAGAAGTAGTAGTAGTAGTAAGGGTAGTTTTTGGCTTGGCTCCTTCAGGCTCAAGCCCTAGAGTGCAAAGATAATCAGTCAGTTCTAACAGTCGGTCGTTGAGTTCCCCTGTACTGCTGAGAATATATGCTCTGTTGTCTGGACTGACTTTCGTGATTTCGTTGATTTGTGCCATGTCTACACCAGGACCCAGGGCTACAGTTAGAGTGGTGATGGACTTCCGGCGGAGCATCTTGAGCACAGCGCGCATGGATCGGGGGTTCTCACTGGCGGTCAGAATGACAGCAACGCGACCCGCATGCTCACGCTTGTTCTTGTCGTAGATGTTGATGGCCAAGTACTTGATGGCTTCGTCCAGGAATGCTGCATCTCCTCCGGCGTAGTGGAGCTCGTGGACAGTCTTCTTAAACAACCACTTCTGAACCTACAAACAAAGAGCGTGGTGCAATCAGTCAATCTTTTCTTGTGCCAGAAAGGAAATCCTCTTTGGAATTCTACTTACTACTAAGATGGGGGGCCTGTTTGCAAATGTGATTAGGCTAATGTTATTTTACCGGCAACCTATTTCAGTTAAATATTTTGTCCCATATAATATTGTGAGATCATCAGAAACCCAGTGACTATTCAAAATTAGGACTATGTTTTTCAAGCCAAAGGTCTTTAAAACATCAAAACAATTTCCAATATTTCCAAGCTACTACACTTGTAAAAGATACAGGGTAAGATAACATATTTTCATCACCTAGTAAGCTCCAAACACAGTGCAAATGTCAACTGTGGAACCAAAGAAATAGGGAAAGTGTCTCCACAACACCAGTGTACAATGTGTCAAGTTGTCAAAATTCTGCCTTTAAATCATTATTAACATTAGCTACCCACTAGTACATGTGAGGTTGATTAGTGCAACAGAATAACATGTTGTATTGCATTCCCACTCACCTGCAGGTCATAAGTTTTGACTCCAGAGTGGTAGAGAAGCACTGTGGCTCGGGTATGAGCTGAGCCCATCCGGAAGCGCTCCACCACGCCCAGGATGAAGTCTTTGGCCACCTGGAACTCCTCCTCGCTCAGGGCCTCTGACCCGTCCAGCAGGAAGGCCAGATCCATGGCTCTGTCACAATTCCCTTCAGGCATCAGCGTGGTATAGGGCAGGGTGCTCTGTGTCACCCAAGGGTGCGTGGGGGCAGGGGTGGTAAGAGAAGGGGAGGAAGCACAGTCCTCACAGTGCAGGGTGTTGGTTTCACAGTGACTAGAAAGAAGGAAGAGTAAATTTGATGCTTCTTTGGATTTTAATAAATATACTAAGTGGCTTTACCATATCTGGCACTTGTCTGGGTCTTCCTGGTTGAGGAGAATTTTGGTCCCATGGGAGATAGTTTGACCATCATGGACACACACCTGACACTGAGAGGGTTCCACACAGCGCAGGAGCACCTCATCCAACAACTGGCCTAAAAGAAAAAAAAAACAGCCTTTAAAACACCAGCTTCTTTTGGCATTTAATTTATAAGCTTCATATTTATATTGTGTGAACAGAATGATCATCAACTACCTCCAGTCTACCTCCCTTTCTGTCAATGTCAGACAATAAGAGCCTGATTCCTTTGATGGACTTCTTAAACAAAAGGTACTTATATGTACACATCAGGCTCCCGGATGAAAATGCCATAGGAAGTAAATTATACTGTAACTTTTGAGAGATTTCTATACAATCTTACATTGTAGTGTGGACAGATTTGATATTAAAGTGCCATCACTCAATTTTCACACCGTGAAGGGAGGAAGTATGTATGTATGTATGTAAACTATTCATAATTATGAATGCACTCACTCTCCCTTCCTTCCTTCTACCATCTTAGCTACAACCTTCCTCCACCACCCTTCCACCACTGCAGCAGAACCATCAGCCTCCTCAGCTTTTACATCTCCCCCATTACTCTTTGCAGAGGACTCATCTGTGCCTGCGTTCCTCCGTTTGCATACAGACAGTGAGTTGTTGGTAGGACACCTGGAGGGCAGTGGGCGTGGCATCCTTCTATACAGGTGAGTGAGCAGTGCAGAGGCTCTGGATGCTGACAGCTGATTGGACAGGCTGGACCACAGGCGTTGTACCTCCACTGACATAGCTCCTCCCCTGTGTTAGCGCTCATGGGGTTCAGGTCCTCACAGCTCAAAGCTTCAGGAAAATTAAACACATTTTTTATTGCTAAGAAATGCATTATAAAAAAACTGCCTGAATACAAGTGCTAAGAACAAACAAAGTTGCAAAGGTCAATGGAATATTTTTATATTTCCACAAAATTGTGGAACATTCCAAGGAAAGATTGTTTCATTAAACGTCTTTGTCCTGATTTACCATGACATTTAATGAAAAAAAAGGATCAGAATATATATATATATATATATATATATATATATATATATATATATATATATATATATATATATATATATATATATATATATATATATATATATATATATGTACTTTTTTTATTTTTATGAAAGATGCCCAACTAGGATGAAGAGTCTTACTCTTGACAACAACAATACAAGAAAGGGCAAGAATAGAGCTGGCTTTTGTTAATGGATGACTCAATTACCTACTACACCATAGTGAGTTTTTTCACAAAAATACACACTTTCAAATTTTTATTGCATACGCCAGGTTTTTGAGTAAATAATGTATGTAAATACTCACGACACAGCTGATTGGACCTCCAGCTGATAGGCAGGCCTTGTTCTGAGCAGGCCAGAGCGTAAGCTGCCACCACATCACAGAAACAAGCACAGTCTCCCACAGAGGGACAGGAGCATGCCGCTTCTACACACATCTCCACATAGGGCTCTGGGTCAATCTGAGGACAGAAGAATACCATATAGTTTGACTGAATAAAACGTAATACTACTACTACTACTACTACTACTACTACTACTACTAACAATAATAATAATAATAATAATACATGTATAAATACTATTATTTTAATATTTATTTTAGCTATTGATTTGAGTGTAAATTAGCTCACCTGAGTATTGCATTCCTTGAAGATGGGGCCCGTAAGGACACGGCAGGACTGTTCCACTGTGACCAGCTTGATGATGTCATTATTACAGTGGGGAGGTACCTGAAAGGGCAAATGTAAAACCAAGTCAAACCACATGTGCCACTCAATGGTAAAAGGCTATTTCTGTAGCCATAGCAACCATGTGAGTGTAAGAAGTGAGGCTATCTGCCAACAGCTTCTCCTATGCACAGTCTTAATATGTTCAGGGTAAAAAGTTTCAGCCCAGGACCTTAACAACAGTTTTTTCCCTTAGAACCAGGTTTGAACCCTCATCACATCGAGGGCTTGTGGTAAGGTTCCACAATATATCATCAAAAGAACTTAATCTGACAGAAATTGTGTGAGTTTTTGTAAGTAAAATGTATAAAAGGCAGATTTCATTCATGATTTTGCCTTCAAGTCTTGATTTAATTATTCTTAGTTAATAATGTGAAAAAGTGCATTAAAATATTACAATAGTCTTGTTATTGCTATACATAGCTATTGATCTTTTTTTTTCTTCTGAAATCATGCAGCCTTGTCTAATCGGTTGACTTATACATTGCACCAACGTCACCCAAATACTATACACTATGACTACTTCCTCAAACAAATAATAATACACAAATAGTTTAAATAACAGTGTAACTCATAAACATACATGTAATTATTAGGGTTGATGAAAGTAAATCGGATACTCATCAGATACTAATTGATATCAATACTAGATACTTATTTGAGAAAGTATTACTACTAGAAAAGTCACATTTACAGGAGAAAAATTTACCTATCCTAAATATCTTTAGAATGATCTTGAGTTGTATCAGAAGAAGTATGAGACCACATAGACAAGTATACATCCATGGACCACTATGAACCCTACATGGACAACTGAAGGATTATACAGATAAAAGGCCACAGGGTAATATTAAAGAAAGTACTATGATTTACTGTTGAAAATCACATTTTACTGTCTAAGGAAAGAGTGTTTTTATTATCACTGGGAGTACCAAGTCTATTCCTTAGTATTAAGATGGAGTTTGAAATTTTTGTATCGTGATAGCACTAGCACTTGTTCAGACCTGATTTACGTCAGCACAGCTGGGCACCACTTTCCAGGAGTTGCCAAAGTGTGGTGCATCCACCTCCAGCTGGTTGTTACTGCTCATCAGGTCATTGTTCAAGTTTCCATCATAGTTTCCACAGAGGCCACACACTTTGCCCTGCTCACACAGACATAGGTTAGAATCACATATTTAATAATCGCATGTATGAAATTACAATATTACCCTGTATACAGCGGAGATATGAACACGCAGGTGAGTTCCTCTGTCCCAACTGAGAGAGATGTGCTTTCCCAGGAGCACGGTGTAGGAGTGAGCGGACCGAATAATCTGCACCTGGGAGTCGAGCAGTATTGGCCTCTTCATTTTCACCTGGAAAAAATATTGCTATATGATGCTGTTGGTACTTTATTTATGGCTTATATATGTTACTTTTTTATTTACTAGAAGGTAAATTTGCAAAAGTTAACCCTTGTGTTAAAGGTGCATTGTGTACCTTTTCTGGTGGAGGGTCAGTCAAAAGCTTTTCTCCATGGAGATGCTATTTCTTTGTCAGAAATGTTTCACAGTATGGCTTTAAACCTTACTATCATCATGGATACCAAACCAGGTCAAGAGAGGTAACCCCACTCACAGTCAGAATGCCTGTTTTTCTAGGTATTTTTGAGCTATAAAATCACCTCTAATTGAATAAATGTAAGGTAGATCTGTTTAATGTCATATCGTGGAACATTCGAAGCAGAGCATTGACACATCCATAGAAACAAGAAGGTGATGGACCCCAACCAAAAACTTACATAATGCACCTTTAAGTGAATATCCCAAAATTCAGTCAATTTGCTTCTGAAAATCTCTACACCAAGGCAGTAAAAATAAACTTGAAATTTATATAATGAATATTTAATTTGTTGTTTTACACATACATGAAAAATATTTATTCAATATTGGCATGAAAGGAGAATTTAATAAAAATATGATGAGAAGCAGAAAGCGTATTGATATAATAATTAAAAAAAAATATATATTGTTGTAACCTCCCCATGCTGCATAACGATGACTCCTCCCTGGAAATAGATGGTGATGGCTTTTGCACAGCGATGTCCCACTATTCCACAGGCTTCATTCTCCACCAGCACTCTGAAGGAGCCCTCTTCACCTCCACACATGTCCTGGACAGACACATAAAAATTCACTATAGAGCAGGATAGAGGTTTAATATATGCAACAGTATTACTTATATCCACACATCAATAACTATTAAAGACGTAAGATTGTAGGCTTTGAAATGTTATAATAGTACAAATAAAATTAGCCAAAGTAAGACATCAACATTGGCTAATTAAAAATATGTTAAATTTATGTGTAAATTTATATTGTTTTATCATTCCTCCTATAACTCAGCAGCAGATCTTCTAAGTCTAAAGATGTATGTTAAGTTATGTAAAGTTTACCTGTACAAGCACATACTGACAGAACCCAGGGAAGGAGTACTTGAGCCCGTCGAAGGTGATGTAGTGGTTCTCTCCAACTGTGCGGCACACTGCATCACACACTTTATCTGTGCACTGCCACTTCCTCTTCTGACACACACTGTACAACAGAAAATATAAAACATAAATTACAGTACACCAAAACTCACTATATGAGGTACTCAGTGTTTGAGAAGACTAACGATGACAACAGATTTCTACTCAAGTACTTGTAGTGTGCATTCACACTTGCAACTACAATACAACTATAATAGAACCAAAACAGGACTCAAAAAGGACAAGCGTGAATGTGACCTTTGTATCCTACTGCTCTTAAGTAAATTGTATCCATTTCTAAAACAACAATAGAGCCAATAAAGCATACAAAAATCATAAAATGTAAGCATACATTAAATTGTCTTTAGTTGTATAAAGTAACTTTCTGGTTCAATTTCTTTATTATTACTAGGAATCTGATTCAAATAAAGTGTATTATGCTATGAGGTGAAGCTGGAGATGAACAATTTATCAGTAAAAAAAAATGGTTAAAAGGAAAGGGTGTGTTTCCCTACAGAATCAAGGTACAGTATTTACAGTTCTTTACCAGGTGTTGCATTCCACAGTTATGGTCTGTCCCGATGTATAAGGCCTGTTGTTATGGTAACAGGGACATTCCTCTGGTGCAATGCAGTCTCTTCGATGGCGCACCTGTTTGAAATTGTCAAGTTTTTAGTCTGTCATAAAAGGATGGACAGTAACATTAGGACAGCACGCTCACAGTGCCTGGTGGACAGAGACACCCAGGGATGCAGGCTGCACTGATACAGGGGAGGTCCACATTCTGACAGGTCCTGGCACATTCTAGACCTGTCTTTCCACTGGCCTCACAGTCTGCTCTGACCAGGGGGGGAGCACACTGAGCCGACCGCCGCTCTAAAACACACACATAAGCCAGAATCTACATACTCTGAAATAGTACAGTGGAGGGTTTGAACTGATTCTCCAGCAAATGTGATATTCAGATTTAGTTCATTCAGTAGCTCCTTTGTCCATAATTTTAAAGATGTATAAATTTTACTTAGATCAGCTTTACATTTGGTAGAAAGTAAAGATTTTGGCCAAACCTCCTTGTTATGGTCTGTTCTTGTCATCTTGTCAAGCTAAGCAGGTGTTATTGGTGCGCATTTGCAGCCTCACTTCTGTCAGTCTAGTGGCTACAATTGTAGCTTACCACCACCAAATGTGGAGTGAATTAATAATGCAAACATACATCTGGAAAAGACTTCTGAAATCTGGAATTTGGTCTCAGTGTGTTTCCATTCTTACATAGCGTCAGAGCCATCCTTGTCATTAACTTTTTTGTTTTTAGAATACAATATCTGTTAAAACATTTCAGGTATAATTGAAATAAATCCTACCTCTGGATGGGGCCAAATCATCATCATAAAACATGTCTGACAGCATGGCGCCCTCCTCAGTGGAACTGCAGCGCATGGCTCCATTCTCACAGTGACTGCACAAGCAATAGTTTACAATATTTAGCTTTACATGTACAATATGATTACAAATTCAAATCTGTGAAAATGATCAATTTCACATTTTTTTGTATTCCTTTTCTGATTATATTTTTATGCTATTTTAATGAATCATTTTGACACAGTGAGACAATTTAATCAAATAAAATATGTATATGTTTGGCAGAAGTCAGAACCAATAAGGATAATCAAACTATAAACATCATAGATCATAGATCATCATCATGGATAAAAAGACTTGAATCTGGCCATTTTAAGTTATGCAAACACTGCAGACTTAAAAAGCATCAATAAGCCTTTGACGTTAGCATTGCTGTACCAGATGGTGTGGTGGTCAGCATAGATGTCTTGGGGCTGGTAGAGCTGTCCATCATGCAGACAGGGGCAGAGGTCAGAGGTCACACACTGTCCTGAGTTGGTTAGGTACTTCCCCGGGGGACAGAAGCAGCCCTCCTCACATGCTGAATCTACTCCACAGCCAGGCTCCGCCCCAGACAAAGACCTGCATGTGCGCTCACACATGGTCCCACACGCTTCATACACCTGACCTCCAGGGCACTCCATGGCTGGCCAGGAAAAGAGACAAGATGGCTCTAAGAATGTACATGCAATTTGTGTGGTCGCAATAAACTGGGACTAAACTGGGACTAAACTAGAAACTAAACTTGGACTTTTAAAAATTTTAAAGTAAGGTCTAAAATCTGTGTGACAAAAATTAAAATCCAGGAATCAAAGCTATTGTGAGGTAGATGTGCCAACTACTGTGCCACCACGTTGCTAAATACAGTGCATTAGGTGACTTCAAATATATTCATCATATTTATGAAATCTGGAGCAACATTCAAAAAGTAATGGATGCTCTTCCTGGTCCAAAATGTCACATACATTGTGACTGTAATGGGTAAAGTCAGTAATAAGAGATGCACACCTTAACACGAGGTTTGAACTGGTGATGTTCCAGTTTTTAACATTTGATGATGCACCACACCACTGTCATCCCACAACTAATAAATATTCAACATATTTTATCTCAATTTTAATAGTCATTTATTTTATTTTTTTGTTTAGTGTTTAGTTGGATATTAAAGTATGTATAGCAAATTGCTCCCCATACCACATAGTGAGGGGGACCTCCAGCTGAGCAGCACTCCCCGGGCAGAGCAGGCTGAGGCATAAGCGGCCAGGGCTGAGCAGAGACACTCCTCTCCATCAGAGCAGGCGCACACGTCGTACCGACAGAAGCGTTGGAAAGGAGCCGGGTTCACCAGGAAGTGACAAGGAGTGAACACCTCTGACATCATCACTGAGCATGCCTCCTCTGCATAACGCACTGAGGGGACGGGAGGAAGAAGAAGGACTTAAAAGAAAGAAATGTTTACAAATATTTCATAAACATTACTTTTATGTGTGAAAATAAAGTAAACATATCCAAATCTGATATATATATTACTGTTAAAACATATTCACAATTTAAAAATAATTTAGTGACATTTGTAAGACTGCTGTAAAACGTTTGAACCAGTAAATACCTTTAAGGACAATTTTGTGAAGGTTACTTTTATTGTTTAGAAGAATCTGTACTTTGGACTTCACTTTGTTTGGGAACAGATTTGAAGTTATTAAAGACATTTTCAGAGTACTTTTCAATCATCCTCCTACTTGAGTAATATTTTTGTTGAAGTTTTGTTGAGGAAGAACGTTTTGGTTCCTCTTCCCACTGTGACTACGTCTACAAGTGACAAAAGCTTTATGTTGACAATGTTTTATGTCTATGCTTTAACATATCAGATTTTGTGGAATATTTAATGTTTTGTCCTTCCAACTGTATTAACATTAAATTATAAATCGTCCTAACACTTACTCTTTAAGTTAGTCTTACTTGAGTAATTTCTTCGTACTTAAGTAATATTATTTTGAAGTAACTTTACTCTTACTTGAGTACAATTTTTGGCTACTCTGCCCACCTCTGATTATCACACAGTCTTTAAAAAACAAAAACAAAAAAAACCTCTCTAATCTGGTCATGCCATTGCTATCAGTATTACAATTTCATAAAGTTACATTAGTAATAGATCACTACTACTTACTACAACTTACCATTACAGGAATATGACTGTCATTTGATTGTGCATTTAATGTTGAGAGAATATATAGAATATAGCTTCTTTTAGCTGACCAACAAATGCAATACTAGTTACATACTGATAATGAAATAGCAGTGTGAGTAGATCTGGATGTGGTAGTGTCAGTATACCTCTTTTGGGATTTGCAGCACACGGGTCCCCCTCCTGTTTGTGGATGGCCTCACAGTCTCCATTGATTCCCCAGGACTGAGCAAATGCCTGAGCCCCTCCCTCTACCAGACCTGACCCGGACAGGAAGTCATCGCCCTGGTTACTGTTGTAGTTTCCACAGAGGCCACAGGTGCGCCCCTGCCACCGTGGACCCAGCTGACACAAAGACAGACAAAAATATAACATATAGCTAACATTTATGAAGAATTCTACCTTTAACGATACAGTCTATTAATGTGTATGTGTATGAATCCTACTGTTTATGTCGTCAATAGGAAATGGTTTGAGCATTTGTGTTTCTTATACTACTCCTTCAGATTTTATTTAGATTTTGTGCTTCAAAGTATAAATCTGACGCTCCATACAGACAGGTACTCTTAAGTGGTAGTTTACCCAATTTCTTTTGTATTCTTACATGAGTAATCAATCAGAACAGTACTTGGTACTAAGATTTAATTCAAATTATTTAGCAGTAACTGTACTTATTGTATAGTTTTTCGTTACACTACCCATCTCTGCATTAGTAGTAGTAGTAGTTAGTATTTCAAAAAAGACTGTTAATGCCAAATGGAGAAATCTGCAGTTTATATTCTGTGTGAAGCTTGTTGGAAACTGTAAAATAAAATAAACTCTACCTTTAAGCGAAGACGACCACGCCCATCCCACTCAATCTGAAAGTCCTCTTTGAATCTGACATGCACTGCTGACTGGACTGGCCTGTGGATGTGCAGATGACCTGTACATAAGAAATATCTCAACATTTACTATTTGAACAGGTACTAGGACGTTTGTGACATATACATATGAGGTATATGTGAGTACCATGATGCATTGGTGTCTGGATATCCATACTGTTAACAGAGACCAATCCTCCATGTTTGAGCTTTATGGTCATGTTCTCCAGAGAGGGTAGGCTGAGCATCACTGAGCGTGTGCACACAGCATCCTGGTCATCAGCACACTAGGGTTGTCAAAAATATAAAAAAATCAGATAGTAATCGGTACTAAAACTAGTATCAAAACTAGATACTAATTTGAACAGGAATTGATACTAAAAAAGTCACATTCACTGGACAGAATTTAACCCTTCCTGAATACCTTTGAATTATCTTGAGCTGTATCAGAACAACTATAAGACCACATGGGCTGGTATACACCCATGGAGCACTACAGAACCAACTCAGGAGACTGAGGGATTACACATATATAAAGCCACATGGTAATATAAAATAAAGTACTACAATTTAATGTTGAAAATCACATTCTATCCTTAGTGTCAAAATCAAATTTGAAATTTTAGTATTGTGATAACACCATAGAACACTAAAATATATTATTAATACAAATGATGAATATTAGAGATAAAAGAATAAAATATAAAAAGCATACAGCTAGAATATACCTGCACATTCTCAATAATAACTGAAAATTCTTTGTCGACACAGTCCTTGGCCAGGAGATACTGGCACTGCCCGGTAAAGGTGAAGAACTTATCATCAAACGTTTTGAAGTGAGACTGGCCTAAGACCAAACACTCCCCTGTAAAGATACAATCATATATAAAGTACAATTGAAACAGGAAAATATATTACACTTAAATATGGTTTCATATTTGCTCACCCGGACAGCCTTCGTTAGTGCACTCCCAAGAACCATGGCGACACACACTGCAGACAAGACACATTTCACAATCATTCATTACAGTTATATCTGGGCTACAAGAAACCCTTTCAATAGTACATAGCTTAGTAGAATTTTGTTCTACTATTTCCAGCATGTAAGCAAGATTTTTAACAGTACCTACTAGTAAAGTGTCAAAACCAAACCTTGAAGACTACACATAAAAACTACAGTAATAGTACATTCAGACTGAATTTAGAATATCATGACTGAAAAAAAATAACAGTCAAATGGGAATGTCATAGATATACATCCTTTTAAAATATGTAAATATATCCTAGTTGAAATATAATTGTTAAAACCAAATATTTAAATTCTTATATTTGTAATGCAAATATGATTAGATGCTATTATACATTTCTCATTGACCATTAATTTAGTTAACAAACAATGTATTTTGTTACATGTACTACATTCTTTTACACTGAGTTACATAGCATTATAGTGTAAAAAACCTAACAAAATGGTTTATCTATGTTCCTCCCATTGTTGTGCATTTATTTATCACTAAGTAGAGAAGGGAAATTCCTTTGATTTTAGTAAAGTAACAGCATTCTGATAATAGATATTGTAGACATTTTATGGTCCCCTCACCAGGTGTTACAGTCTTGAGAGATGGTGGCCCCAGGAGGGAAGTGTCGGCCCATGTGCACACAGGAGCACAGGGACACCTCGACACACCGCTTCCCGTCCAGAACCTTACCCACTGCAACCAAAATCAGACAGATTCAATTAGTAAATCAGTATTGAAGATCTTTCATAAAATTTTGGTGAAACTGGTGACTAGCCATATTTCAACCATCTGAAATATGGACATTCACGGTCCCAGGCACAGGCATAGGTCACCTGGACATGTGCAGCCGTCAGAGCACTCCTCTGTACAGACCTCCTGGATGTTCAGACTGTGACAGGTGGTGGAGCAGGACTTGGTGCATTCACTGTACTGCATCCCGATGGGACATTTGGGCACTGAGTTCAATACAAACACCATCAATGAACACTCAATCAGGTTTTTCAGATAATAATTTACATTTAAAAAATTCATCTTACACATAATTTGGATACTTTCCAAGTCATAAAAATATATGATTTTTTAAATTGTATCTTTTTTTCACATTGGTAGATCTTGTACACAGGTCTACAGTTCCTCACAATATCATCTTATTTGCCATGTTAATAAAAACAGACTGTTGTAGCTTTCAGTGCAAACCTAAGAAATGTTCCATAGTATTGTATAGAGCAATCTATTTTGCGCCTTTTGCGCAAGGAAAACGCACTCTCATAGGACTCACCACAGTGACTCTCAGAGGTCCACCCGGTCAACACTACCCCATGGGCACGACAGGTGCGGGCGTACTCCAGTAGGACAGGGCAGGAGCAGTGCTCTGGAGCCCCCTCACAGTGACAGGCCTCTTGCTCACACAGAGCCACAAAGACCTCCAGAGGAACCACGTGAGCGCAACGACGGAACACGGACGACTGCCCCAGCACATTGCAGCCAGACAGGATCTGAGAGAGGAACAAGGGACTATGGTGGAGGATTGAGGTACCAGAAGATCATGCAAAATTCACATGGTATGGGAGTCAATTCATTATCATTCATTCATTAATTTCGGCTTCTTGTTATCAGGAACATTTTGAGAACTTTATTCAAAACATCAAAATTGAAGCCTATAATTTGAATATATATATATATATATATATATATATATATATATATATAGAGAGAGAGAGAGAGAGAGAGAGAGAGAGAGAGAGAGAGAGAGAGAGAGAGAGAGAGAGAGAGAGAGAGAGAGAGAGAGAGAGAGAGAGAGAGAGAGAGAGAGAGAGAGAGAGAGAGAGAGAGACGATATTACAGAGGTCTATGGGTGAATTTACCTACTAATATACACACAGATTGGGTTAAGCATCTCACTTAAGTGCCTGAAAGCAGTAGGAATTGACTTGAGATTTTAACCACCACCCCTGTAGTAATAAGGCAACTGCAACAGTTTACAAGCCTTAGCCAAATAGTCCTTTACTTTTACTCTGTCATCAATGATAATGAGTACCATTCATTATCTACTAACATGTATACAGTGCACTTTAAATGTTCTGTATGCATGCTCTCACCTCTGCAGTCCTTTGGGTGCTGTTACAGGTCAGAGTGGGTGGGGTGACCCTCTGACATATCTGGCCCGCCCCCTTCACTGCCCATGAGTTTGCAAAATCATAACTGTCTTCTGTGACAAACCCTACAATCAAACACACACTAATTAGACCAGGGTTTTACTTTAATCTCTTCTGAACACGGCTGTTTCTTTTACATCTTATCTTTTCCTCTTCCTGTTTCTCAGTCCCGGTGACTCAGAATATTTCCTAGATACCACTTAAAAGTTTGCTTTCATATAATGTTCTAACATTAGACCGGAGTTAAAAGTGTTGGTGTAGGACTGAGAATTCAGTAGTGGAGTATGTTGTAAAAAATACATGAAAAGCTGGTTAATTGTGAATGGGAAAAATTAAACACAATTTTGCAAATAACACAACATTACAAAACCCTTTTTTTCACAGTAACATTAAAGAGGTGACATTATTCCCTCACACAGGCTTACTGGTTTATAGAAGAAAGTACAATAACTCACAAAAGATGCTGGAGGCAAAGTGAGGCAAAGCAAAGGACACAATGACTGAATGCCGAATTGGGAACAGAACTGTCAAGTTTCAAGTTTGTTGCAAATGGTTAACACTTTTGCATAAGATGACTACTGAACATCAAACGTGGCTTGTTTGTTGTCAGTCAAATAAAGCTGTTAAACTGGGAAGTACCTGTAGAACTAAAGAAGGAAGTGAGAGGGGAGAAGGGGCAAGGTCTGGGGTTATAAAACATTGTGATTGGTCTAACAGGTAGCCACACTTCAAACTTGACCCCTGCAGCCTGTTGTTTATAATCAGAAGCAAGTGGTTGTAACAGCACAGTGCTGTGTGATGTAATGCAGTGCTTGAAATTGGAGAAGCCACTGGAGGCAGCACACACTCACTTTTTTGACTTCATGGCAAAGCTTCAAAGTGACCTATTCTACACTAAAATTGCCACTAGCCACAATACTAGCCAAGACAATTCAAATACCATAAAATACTTTGGGTTCAGTTCCAATAGCAGATCATTCATTCAACAATGATATTTTGAATGTAACTCTAGTAAGTGAATGCAAACTATTACAGATTTTGAACCGGTAAATACCCACTACACCTTCTTGCATACCTTCTTGAGCAGTATATTCATCTGATGTGATGGCATTGTAATTCCCACATAGACCACAGGTGCGGTTAGCATGCTGCTCGCTTAGGGTCAGCGCAAAGTTTGCTGCGTTATCGATTGTCACGGAGAAGCCAAACTCTTCACTCCAAAATTTGGAGAAGCCCAGCTCGGTACCCACAAACAGAGAATGGGATGCATATGGCACTGACAGGCTACAATCACACAAACAAACTTTATGTGAGGAATAACTGCAAATTAAGATATTGAGTAAAATATCTCTTACATTTTTTCTCCCTGTGAGAGGATTCCATCCACAGACAGGTGCAGCTCAAAGGCGTCTCCGAGAAATAGAGTGATGCCAACGCGTTTGCCATCCACAAAATCACCTGTAGTACAGCAAAGATAGGAATAATATTAGACACATCTTTGACTAACAGTTTATTGCAAATTATACAAATTATACAAATATATTCATGGGTTTCAGCTTTCTCCTATATGTAATATTTAAAGGACTTTTCACCACTCAAAAGATATTGGGTATTTGTTCTTAATTGTTAATCACTATGGCAACAGTCCTATTTTGTCATCATTCTGAATCCCATGGATAGCTGAACATAATAAAACTACTAAAACATGACAAGTACTCAAGTTATATTTGAATTTAAAGATAACTGTTGGAAGAAGTATCATGATTTTGTGATTATTCATAATTATTAACACCATGACTATAAATTTACCATCAGTGACTAAAAGATTCTTTAAAAGATTCTTTATGAAAGATAAAGTAAAATTAATGTCACATAAAAAGACAAATAAATAACATTTAGGTAAAACATTTTTTGGAGCATTTGTTGAACAACGTCAACATTCCAACCATTTTTACTATACTTTTACAAATTGTTATCTAAAGTAAGACCATTGTCTAGAATGCCTTCAAACTCAAAACAAAAACATATTTTCTATGCAGTAGATACTGAAAAGGAATATGAAGTAAGTTAGTTGGAGAGAAGAGAATGGTAGTTGGGACAGTAAAACAACAGGAGGCAAGGTAATTAAAGGTACAGTATATAACTTTCTGGAGGTGGCCCATCGCTTGCATGATTCCATGCAAACAGAAAGTGAAGACCATACTTGGGAACATTTCCATGGAAGTGTGTTTTATGCCATACTGTGGAATATTATAGCCAAAGGAACATTTCCATGGAGACAAGTAGGAAGAGCCTTTCCTTCAGGCTAAATAAGAGTCCGGTTTGAGAAGATGCAAGCCTGCTCAGTGTAACCTGCATGTTTTTTGTTTTGTTTTGTTTTTTGTCATTGTTGTTTGTTTTACAGTGCAATAAACACAACCAAAATGGAAAATACATTTATTTTAGTATAATTTCGGCTAAAAAGTTACATACTGTGACTTTAAATATCCCAAAAATAATACCATGTAAATATTGTCTCCATAGGTCTGACTCACCTAGCAGTGTAAAAGAGCGATGTGTGCAGTCCCCAGCCAACAGATAACTACAGTCTCCAGGAAAGTCATACAAAACTCCATCAAATGTGTGGATGTGCTGCCGACCAAACAGACTGCACCTGCCTTTTGCACCTGTCACCCAAACTACACCAAAAAAGTTTGAATTATAGCAAGAAATAAGTCATGATGTTAGCATGCACAACGAATATGCGCCTTACCTGTCTGATGGAAAAGGATGCATACATGTAGCAAATATCTCCAATAAACCTAGGGGGAAAAAAAAAAAATATATATATATATATATATATAAATAAAGTATTTATTTGAATATGATTAAGTCTTAAAAGTTGTAGATGTGAATACCTCCATATTTTCAGCCTGTACAAAATATGGCTTGAAAATAAAACAATTGACAACTTAAGCACCAAGTCAGGGCATGGTGCTCGACAAAGGACTTGTGCATAGAAAAGTGGTTTTATATTAGAGAAATTCCCAGCAAGTTAGTTCCCTCCCCTTATCGGGTTCTTTGGAGTGGGTAGTTGTGGATTGACACATCCAAAACATGCACAGGGACAAAGGCAGGATGTGCCCGCTGATCGGCCTGCTGAGAGATAGGTCCACACATGCGCACAGTGCCAGCCAGGCCAAGCCAAACAGACCCACTCTTGCTGAAAACTCACACTATGGGGGACACGTCCACAGCAACAGTAAATGGTATAAACATATGATTAAGAGGTTCCACTGTCACTGACTCACAACACAATCAGTGCTGGAAGACGCCATTCCCTCATTCACCCTTATAATCACTCGCTCACACAGTGAACACAGACACTGGAGGAAAGGCAAGTGAGGTGTTTTGCCAAAGGACACAATGGCACAATGTACTGCCAAAATTGGGAATCGAACAGAAATATTTGTGTCAAAAAGTGTTCCTTATTGTATTACAATTTTGAAGATAAATATGCTATCGTTCATTAGCTTAGAAATGCTTGTTTTTGGTATTGACCTGCATTTAAATCGTTTGATCTATCACCAGCCATGCTCGTGCACGTTCATTCATGTAGCAGTGCTGAAGCCTTGAACGCGCTTTGCCTGTATCGACGATGGCGTCACTGCACTGCCTGCAGCAGTAGAGCTGCAGGAGCATGCGTTTGCCAGAGGAGAATACTGTCACTGCTGCTGCACACCACAGAGCCCGACTTACTCTTCATCACATGCAGACACGTAATATTTTTATTAGAACGCCATAATAGTCACTGTGGCATTGTTATAGAATTTTTGTTGTTGTTATGAGACATTCAGTCATTTAAAATATTAATCTACGTTTAATCATTGTACATTATAAGATTATCAAAATTGCTTTGTGTCTTGTTCAAACTGTATGTAACTATAGAACATCAGCTGATATCTGTTGACGCATTTGGGCTGACACGGGACCCGGAGAGGCTGAGAAGGAGCTGTGTGTGAACCGGGATATGAAATTGAGTGTGTAATCGGGTGCTGTTAGTCAGAGAAAACAACAAAAAAACATGTATAACTATGTCAAGGCCATTGTGTGATGCTTAGCAATAAAAGGGCTGTGGGGAGGACGAGAGCTCCAGTGCTAGGTTCAGTCAGTTAGCTCTCGCCTTCTTGCTGCAAGTAAAACGAACCACGGTGTCGTCTCTGGCTTGTTATTTACTGATTGAGTCTTTGGGTTAATTCCCTGACAGGCATTAACCTTCCTTCTGTACACGCTTTAGGCTAGCGTACTCCTTATTTATTGTAACTAATGGCAATGAGCCATATCCAGCTAATGAGTTGACATGACGCTGGTTTGGAGCGGAGCGTTGGGAGGGGGCGGACCACTCCGAGCGCACAGCACGAAGCGCGTGTCCGCTAACCCCATTCTGCATAGTGACTGTTACTGACGCTTTCTTACTCCTCCATCGGTGCTAATACAAGTGTAATTTTTAATCTGTAGATCACCATGGCTGCTCTTTCGGGCGGAGAGACGTGCATTAAATACCTGATGTTTGCCTTCAATCTGGTCTTCTGGGTAAGTGTGGAGCGAACATTTTGCCTTGTTTGTTTCCTGTAAATGGAAGGATACCTGCAGTTGCGCGGGGTTTGTGCGTGCATTTGTCAAGTGCTGTTGAAGCTGTGGTATAATAGACTTATTAGTGTAACTGACAGAATGGTGTTTGGGAAGCCTCTCATTCCCTAGGATAAATATAAGCGACAGAAATGCTTCTTATGTGTTACACTCTTGTTCATCTAAACAAACAGTATCCGGTGTAATCCCCTGTGGCCAAGTGACCCAATTCCTGCGCAGACACCACCGTGGAGTCTGCGCGCATGGCATTACTATTACCGAATTTCTGAATGCGTAATTGTAGTGGTTTATTGTCTTTATCATAATCAAATAATAGGACTGGATCACGTGGTGCACTGAATTGCGCATGTCCCGTTTGGCATGTATTGGTTGAGTTGTGTGTGAATGAATTTAAGAACATAGCCTGTCACGAGCTATTTCTGTCCAGTTATGGATGGGCTGCGGTCTTGTGTCATGTAGTGGGTGCATATGAAATGTTTTGCCCTTATAAGAACAGAGAGAGGGTGATCTTCCATGTACTAGGAGTCATTACATTTCCATGCGCAGTGGGGGCAGCAAGAGGCGAGTTAATCATTCTTAATCGTGTCTGTGTGGCTGCTTGCACAAACATAAGTACCTGTAGTGCACTGTAAGCTCTTACATTCCCAGGTGAATCAAAAAAAAAAAAAAAAAAGACTAATTATACCGTGGTTTGGTGGGAAAGCACATGTGGTACATATTTATCATAGTTTTTCAAAAACAAATAAATTACTATAAAAATGCAGGAAGTAGCGCTGAGTTACAGAGTCCCTTGACCCTTAAAATTCCATCCAAAATACCGGGACAATTTATGCACAAGGAATTTATTTTTTCTGGCATTTTAAACTACTAGTATTTACTGTCCATATCCAACCAGGAAGTACAGTCATGAACTTCTCTAAAAGTAAAAAACAGAAAAAAAATGTAGGTAAGATTTTTTGTTGAGTTTTGTACTTATTGAGGGTTTGTATGTTTTTTAGTTTTAGTCGTAAATATAATTATGTTAACTATGTTTCAGTGAAATAAGTTAAGCTATTCAGCAGAGGTTCATTTCTTCTCCATGAAAGTGAATTTTGGTGTTACTATTTGTGTTACTATTGATTAGTAATTGATTTTCGATACAATGCTATGTACAAATAAAACACAAAGTCAGTTCATAGGCTAACCTGTAACCAACACAGTTCTCTTCATAAACAGTGACCCAGATGTGGGATGGGTAACTTTGGTAACAGAACTTCATAAAGTTTTTATTAGTTACAGCTGTACCTAAGAGGAACAACAAAGATCATGACCAAGTTGTGTTCAGTTTAAATAGCGTGTTTATCAGCAATGCAGCATATAGGAAGTGAAAATGATTTAGTTTGTTAATAATTATGTAATTCTGAAAAAGTTTTTTTTTTTTTTTTAATCTGGTTGTTTATGTCACATTATCTAACTTTGTCATTCAGAAAGTTTGAGTTCATAAAGCTGGTCACTTAAACAGCTTTATAGTTAGATCACCATTAAACTTCAATAGTAGTTTAATATCTATGAGACAATGTGAATAAAAGAAAAGTTTGGATTTCACTGTTGTTTGGTTATAGTATCAATAATTGTGAATAATTGTATGCTCCTTCTCACAATGACCTAATTGTAACCCTAAAACTTGACCTTGTGACCCCATTACCTGCATTTCAAATGTCCAGGTAGTTTAAAAAGGCACTTGATAGGGTTGTCAAAAGTATTGAATATCAGAGACTAGTCGATACTAAAACTAGTATCACAACTAGGTAGGTATTGATACTAACAAAATCACATTTACAGGACAGAAATTAACCTTTCCTGAATAGATTTAGCTAGTCTAGATAAGGCTAGACTATGGACCTACCTATATGACTGAGGGATTAGACAGATATAAAACTCACATGCTAATATAAAAAAGTACTGTGAAAAATATTTTTAAAAGTACTATGAAAAATGCATTCTATTGTTTAAATAAAGAGTATTTTTTATTATGATTATGGTACTGGAATCAGTATTAAGTATCGATACTATTCCGTAGTATCAAAATTGAGTATCATGACAACACTAACTACATAACATAGTGTTCTGAAACAGTGATCTTTTTTTTCATCTTAGGGATCAGTAGTTCAGTGAACATGCCCTGCCCACATCAGGAAAACTATTTATTTAAACATGTCTCAACAAATCCTTTTCAGCAGATGTGAAGTGTGTGTTCACTGACGCTGAGGTAAAAATCAACCAGTTCAACCAAAGAGAGGCTGACAACTGGTCTGGTCCTTAAAATAAAGAGCATAGGTTACTCGATCATGAAGAGAGGTGGGTAGAGTATTGTATGTGTGCTCAAAAAAGAGTAACATTCCTATATATAATAATATTAAGTAGAAGTACAACTTTAAAAGTAGAAGTACAAATTTAGCCGTAAGAGTAAATAAAATCTTTTACTCAAGTAAGAGTATTGTATTGTATTCAATAAAAATATGACTCAAGTAGGAGTAAAGGTATGCTGCTAGAAAAGTACTCTGAAAACTACAGTTTCTTAAAAGTTACTCAAGTAAACATAATACACAACTCTGGTCATAGCATTCTCCTTACATTAGCTTGCCACTCCCAAAATGAAAGATCAGGTGATGTCAGGTAGGCGGGTAGTGCTAGTGCTTTCCTTTTCACCCATGTCTGGGGCAGGCACCGTCTTGCTTCCTCTTCCTGTTAAAAAATATACACAAACAAAGTGCTACGTTAGGCAGCATGGCAGTCAGAGGAGGTATCCAGTGTGTCAAATATCTCATGTTTGTCTTCAACGGCATCTTCTGGGTAGGGAGAATGTTTCACTTTGATGTGGTTGTGTTGTGTGTGAAGAAGGAGAGACTGGGAGGTGAGTAAGTCTACAAAAAGGGCAGAGTAGTGTCAAAGTTGTGGATACAAAGTTTACGGAATGCTGTGTTTGCTGACAAGGTTTTGCTAGTGCTTTAGTCGTCACCTTTTAGCCCACAGTGTGCTCATGTGGTGAATAGCAATGCCTTGGAATTTTTCACTTCACCTTTTCACACTGGTTATAGGTTTTTTATGGTGAAACTGCAATGAAAGAACTTGATACTTTTGAAATAGCTGGTGAATGCTAGTTATTGAAAGCCTGAATCAATAGTTTGAGCTGTGTTATTAATCCCATCTGTGTCTTCAGCTTGCAGGGACAGCTGTCTTTGCCATTGGCTTGTGGCTCAGGCTCGACCCAAAGACCAAAGGCCTGTTTGAAGGGGACGACTCTCCATATGTCTTCTATACTGGTATGACAGTAATAATATTGTGCCATGTGAAGCCAAGGCACAAAAAAATATATTAAATAAATGCTTCTGTATAAACATGCATGTTCCATTTCCACAGGTGTGTATGTCCTGATTGCAGCCGGAGCACTCATGATGGTGGTGGGGTTTCTGGGCTGCTGTGGAGCCATCCAGGAGTCTCCCTGTATGCTTGGACTGGTCTGTGTCATGATAAAAACCCTATTGATCATTTACTTGTATGCTCTCTTAGAGTGTAATGTTTAACTGAGCTTTAACACCAAAGTCCCAAAGTCACTGACAACTAACAGCTGCGTCATAATCTTCTTGTAGTTAATCTCTGAGGGGCGGGGCTTATGTAAAATGACTTGTACCACCTGACCTTGCTTTTATAGACATGCCCTGTCATGGCCACATTATAACTGCATTGTTTTTTGTACAGTTCTTCTTCTTCCTGCTCATCATCTTTGCTGTTGAGGTGGCAGCAGGAATCTGGGGGTTTTCAAACCAAACAAAGGTAATTCAAAATGAATAATAAAATTTGCAATTTAAACTAAAACCATAAATGACACAGATGTGGAAACCTATAACAGAAAAGTCTGTTTGTAGGTGGTGAATGATATTACTACCTTCTATATACAAACATTCAACAAGTACAAAGAAACAAATGATCAGCGTCTAAAAGAGACATTAAAAGTCATTCAACATGGGGTGAGTATTGTCAACATGCTTCTCATGTTGATCAATGTACACTGAGAGGAACTGCCCTAATACATGATAATCTTATTGTCCTGTTTCGACAGCTTAACTGCTGTGGTCCCACTGGTACAGTGGCTGACATCGCTAAAGAAACATGTCCCAGAGGAGACACACTCCAGGAGCTGATTACGAAGGTCCTACTACAGAAACATACTCACAGACATTTAAACTAAATAATCTGCTATTATAACAGCTATTATATGAGTTCCTTTTTCTTGTATCACTTTTTATTCTGTCAAAAGTGGGAAGATTTGTTACTATGGCAACATTTGCTATAGATAGTGAATTTTATCAACTTCCTAAAACAAAGTTGTTGTTTTGCAGAGCTGCCCTGATGCTATTGATGAGGTGTTTGACTCCAAACTGCACATCATTGGAGGCGTGGGCATCACCATTGGAGTAATTATGGTGAGTCTCATTGTTAATAGGATAAGATGTCATAGTTTAATACATGTATTAAATGCAATCATGTAAATTATATTTGGCAGGTATTTGGGATGATCTTCAGCATGCTCCTGTGTTGTGCTATCAGGAAGTCTCGGGAGGTGGTGTGACAGCCCTCCTCATGCCCAAATGTGTATTAATATTGCATGATGTCATTCCCAGAGTCACATGACTCCTCACTGCCAATGGAACACTGCTTGTTGAAGAACATAAACTTAAAATAGGCCGGGATCAGACTTTTATAAATATGTTAAACTGTACTGCTGACACTTGAGATAGAAGAGGTATGGTGAGCAGACTGAGCTATACAATGGTGTCATCTGTGCTTGTATAAATATACTACAGATATGTGTCTTATTGTGATCATCGATTTAAACTACTGTTTGTAAACTGTTAATATTCTAATGAGACGTTTATATAACTGTTGATCACATACCGCCAAGACTCATGGTGCAAAGATACACTGGAACCACCTCCTCACTTGACAGCTGTTGCCAATGGATCCAATTTACCTACAATGCAAAGATATGTAGTCATTTTTTATTAGTTTTATACAAAACTCAATCATTTAAGCTTTGGTGGGAGTGGAAGTACCAGTTTTACATTTCAGTTTTTCCAGTTCAAATTTTAATTTTCAAATTTTCATTTATTTTGAATGTAACGTTTCACTTTTCTGAAATGTTTTGTTTTTATACTTGTAAGATTTATGAGAAAGTGTTGTATAGCGAGGCTGTCTGAAGGTACATTTTATACTGTAACTGACATGTTTTGGAGATTTTGTTGAATGATATGCACTGGTTCACTGTGTTGAGTAAAAACTATTATGCAAAAACAAGGCAATATCTTTTTTTTTCTTTAGTCTTTAGTACGTTTTGTTATGCAAGATCTATTTTCCCATGTGAACCTGTTTATCAGAAAGTTGCTCCTACTGACTCATACTTAATCAAATCCACAAAGACTTTCCGCAGTTATTTACCAAAAACACCAGCTGACTCATAGCAAAACCATTCTAAACACTATGCATTTGGGATCTTAAATTACTTAGAATAGAGTTACATCTGATCATTACAGTAGGAGGAAGCCTTGTCTGATTTGCTCGCTGACAGTTGAGTGCTGGACTTTCAGACCCACACCCATAACTCCACAGATAACACTGATTATAAAAGGAAGGTGTTATTGTGGTGTCTGCATGAGCTGTGAATGGACTCCAAGCAATATCAGAATGCCTTTGCTCCCAAAGAAGACAGTTGAGCTAAGAAGATTTTAAGAGTTTTAATACAGAGTGTTGATCTATTTGAAAAATATTTAATAGTATTTTTGGACAGTTAAACTAACAAGATTTGGCTTAAAAACTCCTTACGCTGTAGTTCAGCTCTGTATAAACAAGTTCTGAAATGTGATATCAGTCGTTTAATCAATTTTTCAATTTATTTATTATAATACCAGGTAACTAAAATCTTCTGGACATGTTTAAAATGAGAACTTTGAACAGAATCCTGTTGTTAAAAAAGTATTCTTTTATTTATTATTTATTGTTAAAAATCATAAATCTAATCACAATCACAAACCTTATTAGAAAAAAAAAACCCAAACACTTAAATATTTTTTCCCAAATTATTCAGCTCTGTCAAATCAAGATTCAGTTAGTAAATTTAAAAGTCATCCATAAGAACTAAGATTTCAGACTAAAATACAAACTACTAAAATAAGAATAATTTGTAGAGGCAACAGAGATTTTTTCATCATATGATCTCTAATAACTCAATAATACCGCCTTTGGAAGTTGCTAAAAGAACCATTCAAGCAGTGATTTTTGACTGATTCATGTAACACTTTATTTCAATGTATAGAATTAGTTAGAATTAAAATAATGTACATTAACTACTGAATTTTACCCATTGGCCTAAGGCAGGTCAAAACATACATTTTTTTTAAGAGTGTACAGTGCTCTGTACACTTCTGAGGGGGTCAGCCATCTGCTTGTCTCCATGGAAATGTAGTTTGCAATAACACTTCATAATCTAACTCTGCTATACGTACTATATGTAATTAGCCTTAATAAAGCATGAAAAATGCTTATTAAGAATAATTCAGGCTTAATAAGTACTTACATTTTCAGAATTAACTACAATTCTCTAGAGATAATTCTGTAACTGGGACCAAAACACATTAGTCCATAACCAGACTAATAAAAAGAGATTACAGATGCTTTATTTTGTTCAGTGTTTACTCTGTCAGAAAAATGATTTCCCTGTGTGTATTTTGAATGGAATTTTCTATCTTCATGGCACAGATAAAGGTATTCTGTTTTAATTCTCATTACTACTTGTAATTTGAAACTTTTCTTTTCAACTTTTTTCAGCACAAATTCTCACTCAGGTAAAATATGATAACTATTTACCACAAGTACTGTCCCACCAAAGTAATAAATAGAAATACATGTTAACTTCTCATATAGACTTTAATGAATAACCTACCCTAACCCCCAGATTAAGTAGTTACTAAGTCTTCATCGATCTTAATAAACTACTTCAATATGAGTGAAGTCTTTTAAACTGAATGAAGAGTTTTATTAAGGTTAATTAAGATATAATCATTATAAAGTGTAAACATGTAATGCCATATTGTGGAATATTCCACGAACCATCTCCCAGAAGTTTCATAGTGCACCTTTAATATGTACATGTTAGTGCACCTTTAATACGTATACCTTAGAATACCTGTTTTAATGAATAAAGACATCTCACCAGCTTTTATTGTTCTATGCACTCTTTATGTTATGCCTGAATGTCAGCTTTAAAGAGAGACCAGCCTCCCCATTAGCACACAATACAATGTCATTCCTCAACCTGCTCTTCCTCCTCTTCCCTCTCCTCCTCCTTGCAGGAAATGTTTGCGATTGTTTTTAATCTCCTGCGTGTGTGAATAACAGAGTCTATACGGAAAAGCTGTGAGACACACTGTAACACCGCCAAAAGCAACTGGTACTTACAGAAGACCGACTCTAGCCCCGACTCCTGTATACAACATTCTGATCCTACATTTATACTGCTCTCTGAAGACATAGGGCTTGTGTGTGTGCGTTTTATAACTTTGGATTGGATTTGAACAAAATGCAATGGTTTGTGGGAGTAAATAAGTCGAGGAAGGCAAAGGAGGGAGTCAGCCAAGATGCAGGAAATCATATATGTGTGTCTAGGAGCTGAATTGTTTTGAAGGCTGTGACTTAAAAGGAATTCAAAAGTTCCACCAGCAGTCAGAACGCAGCCTTGTGGACAGTTTGGGTGACGAGGAGGGCAGTTAGATGTAATGGAGGAGTTTCTTTCAGGTTGTGCAGAGGTAGGGGGTTGCCAGGTGGTCAGAAGCATCCTGATAGCGTCTAGCATAGCCAATGCGTGCTGTTCAGTCTGGCCTTCTCCAGCGCCACAGACGACCAGGCTGCAAGGTTTAAGGTCTTGTTTATCAGGGAAACCCACGTGGACATACCTTTGGAGAGAAAAAAATAAAATAATATCACAGAAAATTATCACATGATATAATATCTACAATAGTTAAGAGTTGGATTCAGTGTCCATTTGAGTCAAGTTAACTAATAAAGATGAAGATCTTATTTTGACAAATTTTATTCATAGCTAATTTATCTTACTAACCACTGCACTATATTTATTTATTTTATTTCATGTACAAGCCATTCTATAGGATAAAAAAATAGGACAGAAGAAATTGGAAATACTTTAAACAAGTCAAACGAGGACTGGATAATTTGTAAAAAAAAAAAATTAACTGAACTGAATTTTTATATATTTTTTTTATACATGAATTTACAATTTTGATTCGAATCTTTTTCTTTTTGAAACAAATAAATAAATGAAATGATGTTGATTACAATGCTCAATTACAATTTTAACTTCAACGTTTTTGAGACAAATTATGGCTTTTAATAATAGTGTTTATAAAAATTTTAATAAAACATAAGAAAATAAGTTATTTACATTACAATTCCATTTTATATATATTTTTCATCCAAATTTTGAAAAACACTACAAACAATATGCCTTTGCTACTACAAGACATGACTGGCTGTAGACCTGCTGATTTAAAAGTCCCCATTTTACCCCAAATTACTTTGTGACAATTTACACAAAATAATCAAACCTGTGAGCTCCAAGAACTGCTGCTTTACAAAAGGCCAGAGAGACCACATGCTTTGACTGGATATTCCAAAAGCCAGAGACAGCTGTGGCTTCACTTAGATGGATGAACAGATCTAAGTCCTCCTGGCTGATACACTCCACCACACTGATGCACGCCTGTGCTGCTAGGGCCAAAACCACAGCTGGCTGCTTGACTGAAGACAGGAGCACAGACACCCCCAGACTGCACAGGTATGAGATCACACATTCTAGAGAGCTTTCTGCAAAAGAGCTGAAATGCAGAATATCCCCCTTGCCTCCAATTTCCAGTGTCTCCCCTGCTTCAATGAATTTGGGGTGAAGAGGTGAGGTTAAAACAATAGCCTTGACTGGTCCTTGTGCGGTCTGTGTGGATGGTATCGCAAAGTCTCTATGGATGACCTGCCCCTCGAGTAACCGGGAGTAAACGATGGGAAAGCCAACTACAGGAGTATACAGCGCAGGCCAAGAGTCATTCAAAAACTGCAGGGAGGAATAAGGTTGGTTGTCTTTGATTGTCCAGTTGGATAACAGTTCACAAAGGAGTCCGCTGATGAAACTGCAATGATTCTGGCTCAGGCGGGTGTGGAAGAAGGCAGATAGCAGCTTCTGAACTGGACATGGTAGCGCGGCGTGTACCTCATCCCACATGAGGCACTGTGTGTAAGGCAGGACACCCACGCCCAGGACGTTATCCAGGTGATGCAGTGAGAAGGACAAGAGCTCATCAGCTAAGCATCGAGCTTTGGAACACGCTCTGGAAGGGTAGGAGAGGGACATCTGCTGGTCAGTACAAGCAGCACACTTGATTTTCCGAACAAGTGAGGCAAGGAGGAGGATGAAGGACTTGGAGCCATCCCCTGTTCTGGCACTGTGTCTTGATGCACAGTCCACAATGATTCTATTAAAAACATACATTGAATTAATAATTTTCAGTTTTAAATGAATATGGACAGGTTTTTATGTTTCTCTAAAAACTCACTGACTTAGTTTGGTGAGATAGTGCCTGCCTGCAGTCAATAATAATCAGTTTTGCATCAGTCAAACTTTGTGAAGAACTGTTGTTACAAATGACAAATTACAGTAGCACTGAGTACTAAAAGATCATTCATAAAATTCAGGGGGCATTTGCACGACAAACAGTTTTTCTGACCCTTTATATATTCACTTAACAAAAGTAAATTAGCCAAACTTTGTCACAATTTTCAAACAGGAGGCACAATTCAACCACAAAAATTGCTGGTGAAATAATAATAATAGTGTTCAGCAAAATAAGTATATAACACTCTGGAGGTGGCACATGACCTGCATTATTCCACTGAAATAGAAAGTTTAAACCATACTTTCCCATGGAAACAAGCAGGAGGTTCCAGTGTTCCAGACAAAAGTAAGAACACCAGACCTCACCCTTCAACAGAAAAGTTAAAAATTTGCATGTCAGGTCTGTGAAGAGACAAGCTTTTGTGTAGCAAGGGTGAGTGTTCATCAAGGTTTTTGGTGGAATAAAACCTACTGAAGGAAATACATTTGGTAGGCCAAATAACCTGTCATATGCACTTTAAAGAGATAAAAGCAGTATTATGTTAGGTAGGCCTATAGTTACCGTGCCAGTGGGTTGTCCAGTCGTAGTGCAGTGAGAATACGTGCTCCGCTGCGGCTGAGCATCGCCTGCCCCGTGTCCCGGGTGAAGAGGACTTGTCCCCCGTGTGGACCAAAGGCTCGTAGGACTACTGCCTCCAGAGCTCCCACGGTCTGCACTACGCTCTCCATTGCGCTCACTGCAAAACCAGCGCAAGATTTATGATGTCATATGACTTCATAAACATTAAATATAAGATGAGTTAAGCTATGGTAAGAAACGACATTTGCAGAAGTTAGCGACACAAAAACACGTGGTTAGCTGTAAACTTTAGCAATTAGTAATATTAGTTTATCAAGTATAGGATGGCGCCGATCTCTAACAAGCGCATGCAAGAGTAGGTCTGACCATACCCGTGTAACTTTGAGGAAAGAGCAGAAATGTGAGCAATGATCTTACCTCTTCAGTCTAAACGCTTCCTCCGTATCCTAGAGACGGCTTCTTTAGCTCTCAGTACACCGAAAATCTATATTATAACAACACTGCCATCTAGTGTGCAAAGGCATTATTGTGTAAATGCTCATACTGGGATACTGTGGTGTGTGTACTCATCATAACCATAGATAAGATCATAACAAAAAGACACGTTTATTTAAAAATAATTAGAACATCAATAAGTATCCCGTCATCAGTGCTATGATCAATTTTTATATGTTGTATTTGTTTTGCTTGTAATGCAAAGGTTGTCCGGCATTTTAAAATCAAAGTTTTAAAAAAGAATGGATAAATTAACTAATTACAAATTCTCAAGATGCAATAATTAAGTAACTATCCACATTAGGTAACTGTACTTTTTGTGTAGAGTTTTAAATATTATGTTACATTTTTATCAATGTAATTGTAATAAGTAACATTTAAAATCATACGAGTTACTGAGTACAGCACAAGTCTCACCGCTGTCCCTGCTCCTGTCTAAATCTACAAACACACCTGACAGCACTGTATCACCTGCTCAGAGCGCAGAGAATACTTGGTTTACAGTTTATAACAACTAACTACTATAGATTTAAATGGTTTAATTTGTCAAGTATTGTTTGGAGGTTATTTAATGCTACTAAAATTCCATTAAAAAGTAACACGTACAGATTATATTTGACTCTATTCAAATGCAAAGGCCATCCAGCTGTTTTATATCAGTCTTTTTTTATTAAATAAAAACTCACACATAATTCTATTTAAAATATATAAAATGAAAGTAAATCCACAGTCATATTCTACCTCCCTGTTTGTGTGCAGTATCTCTGAAACTCAAGGTGAAAGGGGTGGAGCCAGAACATGATCCCTGGGCTGCTGCAGCCACATCCTAAGTTTCTAAATGAGGAAACATCATCTATACATAGATCGTATGAGACAGTACTGCATCCCCCCCCCCCCCCCCCCCACACACACACTCACTTGTCCACTCTAAATGTAAATGTCCTCTACTGCTGAACTCTCACTATGCTAACGAGGTTTTAAAGGCCATGTCACCTCCCTGATGCATATTCATCATTGACCCAACAAGAGTGACCTGTAAGCAAACCTGCAATACAACCCCTAAACTGTCCCAAGTCAGGAACAATTAGAACATAATAAAGCATATTCAAATGAAAAAGACAAATATTATGGTAAATGTCCTGCAGATGGACCCAGAGGCATGTTTGTGGAGTATGAGTAAACTGCATATGCCTAAGTATAAGCCTGAGTGTGAGCCTGGTGTGAGGGTATGGACCAGGCTCTCTCTCCCCTGTTCACCTGCACTCCTCCTCCAGTCACCCACCCGCACCACCCCGAGGCACTACAGGCATATGAGCTCCCATCATCAGCCCGCACTGCTCCACTGATGCTGTACCTCAACTCTTTGTGCAGTCGGCGAGGGAATAATAATTATAAGGCAACGTCACACAGGTAAGTCACTCAGAAACTCATAATATTTAAATTACTTTAGAAAACAAAATGAAAATGTATTTGCCATCCAGTGTGTTTATTTTAACTTGCAAGTTTTTAAAGAACTGTGCTTGTTAACATAACCCATTTTAACCTATAAGTTAAAGTAAAACAAAGTAAAAAGCTCCAGGCAAACTCCCAAATTAAGAATCAGTAGAACTAGAACTGGAAAGTTTAACTAGAAATTAAGCAATGCTCACAAAACTTTAAGAGTTAAAAAAACAACCAGACTTACTTTTTCTCAATTTTCTTTTTTCTTTTTCACTTTTTATGTGCATTTATTTACATCTTGTTAATTAGTAATAATATATTATTTTGTAGTATATTCATATTTTACTGCATAGGATTAGAGCTCATAGAAAAAGCATAGCTCATTGCACAGTTACGGTTTGCAATGCGTCTGGTCACACGGGGTCGATGTCTGCCTGGGTCAGGTCCCATGTGCTGACTCAGCTCCAGATACTTGTGAAGAAAAGACAAAGCATGAGACATTGGAGTGAGTCATCCCCTTTGAACCTGTGATGGATTGTGTAGTGTCTGAACATGACCTTGCAGGAGTTTGACGAGGTGGTGACAGTAGAGGTCCATGATGCAGTGCTGTCCTGTTTTCCGTCTTCGCTGCTCCTCCCGTCAGCAGCTTTGGCCCAACCACAGCTTCATATCCTGTGTTGAAGTGTTGTGCCATGCCAGCAGAAATCAGAGAAGTCACTTGACACTGAGGGCCTTACAGTGTCGATAAGCACATTACTGTCTCCTAAGCATCAGATCAATTGTATTTGTGGACACTTTGTACATTTGTCTGCTCACTTTGTTAAGGTGTACTGCACTGGCAAGAAGAGCTGTTATCTTTAGGAACGGCATTAGTGGTGTCACGCTACAAAAATGTCAAACTCGTTATACAAGCCATAGATTACCAATTCTGATACAATGATTGTAATTTAAAAAATGCTTTTTCTTTAGGCAGCAGAATGTGATTTTCAACATTAAATTAGAGCGGTTTATTTTATATTACCTTGTGTTCTTTTATCTGTGTAGTCCCTTAGGGTCCATAGCAGTCATTCTTTTCAGGAAAGTTTCATTTCTGTCCTCTGACATTTTTTCTCAAATGAGAATTTATTTTCTATACTAGTATACTATTATCAATTATTATCTAATTTGGATACTTTTGACAAACCTAGCCATAGGTAATTTGGTTACTGACAATATCAGTATATTTCCCCAGGTATCTTTATCACAATATTTTTTTTTGCACATCTCCAGACTGTTTGTGCCCATGTGTCATTCCCAATCCATCTGCTTATATCAGTTATCAACAATAACAGCAAGACAAATATCAGTATCTTCTGAGAAAATACATCTTGGACCATCCCTAGTAATCTTAATGGTTATTATTTTCATATGTTGAAGATTTTTGTTTTGTCTGTTTTACTAGAACTGAAAATGACTGGAAAGCTACAAACCACCATCACTCCTGCTTCCCTCACCCTCTCATTCAACACTACCACACCGACCAATCACACGCATTCTGGAGGACACAGCATCAAAAAGTTCATGAATGAATTACGGCGAGCACACTGTAAGTATTGAGCCTGTATATATCCAATATAATATATATAAAATTAAACCGTATCTTTACCCCAAAAGTGTGTATCTTCAATGGCTAGTAATAATACTGAATTATCCATCCATCAGTGAATTTGGGGGCTTATATGTTCTAAAAAAAAATTAACAGAAAAAAGTTTTAGAAAGTGTATATTTATGAAAAGATGCTGATTAAACTCATGATTCACTTCCAAATCTTCAACTGACTCCCTACATACTTACATACTACTGTGGTTGTCCCATATATATTCTTTTAATCAAAATAAAATTATTAGTCGACTAACATAAACGTTGGTTGACTAAGACTGCATTCATCGACTAAACCACTAAAGCACTTCAGCCCTACATTCTAGTCTTGAATTGGGATTGCACATCCGGGTATACTGAAATGACTTCAGCCAATATGGGGTATGTTTTATTCTGAAAATATCAAAAGTGCAATGAAATTATGGTTTGACAATTCAACTAATTAAAAATGATGAAGATGCTCCTGAGAATGCAGCGGCAATGACAAGTGTGTGAAATGCAGCGACTAGCTATTTCTTAACCCTAAATGTGACTGTAACCATCCTAAAGATGCACCTTACAATACATAGCTATCATAGCATTGTCTTTGCAGTGCCATCCATGGAGGTAGGTGCCGTGTGCTTTGTGACTTTGTGCACCGTCCTAGCCTGCAGTCTGTGTGTGTGGAAAAAGTGCTTGAAAAAGAAAAACAAGGACAAAGACAAAGACAAGAAGACCGGCAAAGAAAAGGGCAGCAGCGGCTGTGACACTGAAATGATGTCCAGTTTTAAAGAGGTAACACAGCACATGCACTGCTCTGCCCATGTATCAGCACTGACATCCAGGTCACCCACTGTGCAGCTGTCAGAGGAGCAGGGCTAATGGAGTTATGAACTAGCCTTCACAGCAGTATAAGCTGGAATGAGCCCTGATATGTATGTGTTCTACTGCATCCACATAGTGTCATCTGTCTCATCTGAACAAGACAGCGATTGTCTACTTGTCTATATGTACACAATCTATAACATGAACAGCATATCTTTACAGGTTTTTCCAGTTGCCTGTATGCTTTACTAACTCAATTCAAACACACAGAGTGATACTATGCCCAGGGCACGTTTCAGCTGAGGATTTTGAAATGTGTAAAAACTACTGTGAGGGTAGAGGTGGGTAGTACAGCAAGAAGGCAAAAAAAAAAAAAGTATTTCAGGCCCACAACAAAGGGGCAATGCTGAGTATAACCAAAATATGGGCCATATTGGCCAGTTGGTCAGCCTGTACCTAGATCATTCTGAACAGATTTCAGCTTCTTGGTCAGAGCAATAATATACTGTAATCACAGTTACAATTGTAACACATACTTTTAATAGAAAACAATAAATGTGACTTTGAAAAGCCCTGTTTTGTCTGGGAATTGAACCCAATACTTTCTAGCTACAACTGCCATTGTACATAATCTCATGCACTTTGTGTTTTGCTTTGATGTTTATGTTGACAGAAAACAAAAGAAGATCGCAGTAAGGAAGCCGAGCTGTCTGATGAAGAGCCTAAAGAAGAGGAGAAGCTGGGCCGCCTGCAGTTTTCCCTAGACTACAACTTCACAGATAACACTGTGAGATCATTCTATATAGCCTGAAATACCACACTTTCAGACAAACATATATGATGAGTGCTTCTTTTAATAGATTCCCTTCCCCTTGCTTTTCTAGCTAGTGGTAGGCATCATACAAGCAGCAGAGCTCCCTGCTATGGATGTGGGAGGCAGTTCCGATCCCTATGTCAAAGTCTACCTTCTGCCAGACAAGAAGAAAAAGTTTGAAACCAAAGTTCATCGCAAAACTCTGGAGCCCACTTTCAATGAGACATTCACATTCAAGGTAAGAATATGGTGTAGTTGTCT